ATTGGAATGTTACTTCAGCAAGTTTTGCAGGTGCTGTGCACATCAGGCTTTGCTCTTTTTTCCCGCACCTAAAAAAGAATTAAATATTGTGAGCCATCACTTTTTTTTTCTTCTCTCCCCAAAACGTGTTTGCTGCCTTTTGTCCCGCTCTGCTGAGCAGCCTTTCACTGTAAAGCCTCAGATCAGTGACATTTCTCCTCTCAGGGCGAGCTCCTGACAAACCATCAGAGTTTAGAGGCGCTCCCAGTTGTTCTCTTGGCTGCTGTCATTACTGGAAACCTCATTTGAGCCTCCCCCGTGCCTGAGCCAGGACTGACACCTACCAGCACAACAAAGCCTTTTCCACCAGAGGGATGTGCAGGATTCTGATGGTGCTCACAGGGGTCCAAGGGTGAGGGAAGAGATGAGGATCTAACTCCATGGTTCACAAGGCTGATTTATTATTTTATGATATATATTACGTTAAAACTCTACTAAAAGAATAGAAGAAAAGGTTTCATCAGAAGGCTGGCTAAGAATAGAATAGCAAAGAATGATAACAAAGGTTTGTGGCTGGGCTCTCTGTCCGAGCCAGCTGGGCTGTGATTGGCCATTAATTAGAAACATCCAGCATGGGCCAATCAAAAATCCACCTGTTACGTTCCACAGCAGCAGATAATCAATGTTCACATTTTGTTCTTGAAGCTTCTTAGCTTCTCAAGAGGAAAAATCCTAAAAAAAGTACTTTTCATAAAAGTTGTCTGCGACACAGGATATTCAATCCAGCTCCTGAACACCCAAGTCAGGCTGAGAGCTCAGCACAGCTCCTGTCCTGACACTGATCAGAGCTGCAAACCCTCAGCTGTCCCTGAGACCTGAGAAAGCCCCTTCTGCTCACTGAGGAAATGATTGCTGCACAAAGAGGAGCTGACAGCTGAACCCTGCCCACCGAATCAGGGTTTGCAGCAGAACAAGCCCAGACTGTCTCACTTAACCACTATTGAATTCCAGGCAGCAGAGATAGATGGGCTTGGAGTTATCTCCTCCAGAAGCCTTTATTATTGTGCTAGGAATCCATTTAAGCACTGCACAAAAAGTAAAACACTCAGTGCTGCTGGAGAATTCATTTCTTACGCAGCCCTGATGTTCCTCAGCATTGCTGTGCTTTAGGTATTCATTCTTCAAATGTTCCCATTATTTGGCTTTCTAGAAATGAGCCAGAGTTTATTTCTCCCCAAGGAATGAGGGATGAGGTGTCTTTGAAGAGATCTGTAGCTCGTGGTATCATCTCCTGTTCTGCCTCTAAATCTGGGCTGCACTGAGCAGTTCCACCCTGACTCCGATCCCTGCAGCTGCTCCCTGGAATTGTTTCCATTTCCATGGTATTGAAGCTCTCTTCAGTGTCTTCCTTCAGTGCCCAGGGAGATTTATTAATGAAAATAAAGGAAAAAAAAAAAAAGTCAAAAATTGCACAAATTTCGTAGTGTTGGGTAACTGAGCTGAGTTGGTTAATACCAATAAATGCTGAATATTTCAATATTGATTTTAAATATTTGTGGTTGTCTGAAAGTCCACAGGGAGGAGAGGGTAGGGAAGGGAAGGGAAGGGAAGGGAAGGGAAGGGAAGGGAAGGGAAGGGAAGGGAAGGGAAGGGACTTAGAGCTCCTTGCATTTATTTCTCTGTTCTAAAACCTGCTTGTAAAAATATTCTGTGTGCAGGTGTGTTCCTCTGGGGGCTTAAAGAAAGAGTTGGCAGCTAATTGGGAAATTCTTCAGGCATCTCACACTCTTCCACTGCATTCATCTTTCTAGCAATGCTATGTAGATAAAATGTGGAAGGGGAAAATACAGCAGAATTCCATTTACTCCAGAACCATCCTTTGTATCTAAAAAATGTCCTGTCTCAGAAAAAGAACTGATCTAGCAAACTGAACAGGACCAGGATTGGATGTGTGGGCACCTGGGAATCATTTCCCAATCCCTGTCCCCATTTTCTCAGTTGGTTGCAGCACTTGCTGAGCCATAAAAAGGCCAAAGTGATTGAATTAACTCTCATAAAATGTTCAGACACTGCTAGAAAATGATGTAACCACACATAAAGCCTTGTTAAAAAAAAGGGGAATATGTTTTCCTTCTCTGTGTTTCAAAGTTGGTTTTTCTTTTTTATTTAGTGACAAAAGAGCTTGTGAAAATTTCAAAGCTGCTTCAGTAGCTTTTCAAAAATACTTTTGCCACCAGGTTCTTTTGAGCAGGATTTTTTTGGGCTCTGCAGTTTTGTGGCTTGTGCAGCCCAGAATTGCTGCCAGCACAGAGGATGCAACAGACAGAGCAGATTCTGCACTGGGGAAACAGAGGCAAGCAGGGAGAGCTGGCTCCAAACAGCATTTACATCCCTGAGGAGTGAAAGGAAGGAAAAAAAAAGAGAGGGGATTTCCCCTTATTTTCACCAAAAAAAACATGGATAAAATATGAATAAACCAGATTTTAAAAGTAAAAATTGTTTTTTAAATATTTATAAAATATTTTTTAAAAATTTAAAAATACTTTTTTTTTTAAGGGAACAATCCTGCTCTCGTTCATAAAGAAATCATTGATAATAAAATCAATCTCTTATTCTCAGAAAGTAACTTCTTTCTTTTGTCCTTACCACGTGTGGCTGAGGCGTTTTCTGGCACAATCAGCACCTGTAAGGTACAAAACTCCTGCAAAGTGGGTGAAGGATGTGGGTGTGGATCCTCACCTGGTGCAGCAGGGAGAGGATTGTGGATTGTGCCCTCCCCAAAATCGAAGAGGATTTTAAGTCAGCTCTAACCCTTACAGAGGAGCCCAAGGCAGGGCTGGAGTTCTTTGAAACCAATCAAACCTCCAATCATAAATATCCCTAAAAAGTGAAATGTCTCCTGCACTGGTGCCCCTCAACAGGAAAATGCTGTGGCGGGACATGGGAAAGCAGAAGGAGAAGGAATTTGATTTTCCAGCCTCTCTCTTCTGGGAGCAGCTCCTGCTGGCACAGCTGAGGTGGGACAGCACAATAAAAATGAGGGCAAGATCTGGTAGCTCAGGCTGTGTCTAAATCCCACAGTTTGTTCTTATTTAAATGTTTAAGTGTGACCTGGCTGGCCCCACCTCTGTGTGATCACAGCAGCTCCACTTAAACCTTTCCTTTAGCCAGCAAAACAATTAATTGGCAATTCTGGTTGCAGAAGCTTTTCCATCAAAATGAATCCTTCAGTGAACAACTCCCCAGTCTCTCCAGCTCAAGTTTAAATAAGCATTAATGACTCTGAAGAAATCAGAAATGTTTTGCTGGGGGGCAATCAAAGCAATATTGAGACAGCTCAGGATTATTGCTGGGTGCTCAAGCAGCCTTTAAATCCCACCTGTTCATGAATTAAAGACGTTAAATACATTTGATCATTCAGAAATTATACTGACACCTTTAATGCCATTTTTCTTCTGTCCCAGTAGCAACATTTCTTTTACATTACAGATATATCCATGGGCAGGGGGAGATGGCAGATTTGACCATTTTTATACAAAATACCAATGCTCCCATCTGAAATAAACTCTTAGGACAAGTAACCTCTTTATAACATCATGCAAACTATGATCTGCAATTCCAGGTGGTTTGGATATACATATATTTATATACACACATCTGGGGGGTACAGCAGTAACACATTTTGATTGGTCATCACAACTTTTTAAGATTTTTCAGCAATGTGAATCATTTACCTTCTTGCCAGGTCCTTCCACTCCTTCCCCAGCTGCAGTGGTCAGTACAGCAACAAAGTTGTGTGTAAAAAATCACCTTCTATCCAACTCACAGGAGTGCAAAGTGCCCACCCACCCTCCTGAAACAGCCCAAAATCTCCTGTGTGGTGGGTGAAAAAATCAGGAATTTGGGCAGAAAGCAGTGCCACCAATTCCCTGACATCTTCTCAAGGAGCACCAAGCAGCCATAAATCAGATTTCCAAGCAGTGCAATACCAACAGGACACACTGCACTCTGCCAGCAGGGGAAGGAGTTGGAAACAGATCCCAAAAGCAGCAAATCCCAGCCCAAAGTGGCTTTCAGGGAAGCTCCCAGGTGGCTGCAGACGCTTCCCCCACACACATTTTCAAATATACAGAAATTTTTAATTTAGAACCACATCCTTCATGATATGCAAGGCACAAAGATCCATCAATTCCGTGTATTTGGGGCACAAGGGATGAAGGTTTCATTAGCAGCTCATGTGAAAATCACTTTATTGAATATTGAATATATCAATCTGATGGCACTGGAGTTTCATGCTGATGGCAGAACCTAAAGCAGAGGTTTCATAGAAAATCCTTTGGAATCAATGTGATTCTTAACACCATCTTCAGTGAGGCCAGGATTTCTGCCTAAATTCTATTTTTAAATTAAATGCATAGGTTATTTCTAGATCACTCTGATTACTAACTAACTCATGGCAGCTTTTCTGCCTCCTGGGATATTTCCTGTGAATCCCAAAAGCTTCCATTTTGCATATAATAATTATATCCAATAAAAAAATAGTATGAAGTGAAAATCCTCCCAAAATCCAAATGTCAAAAATTCAGCTAACATATATTAATCTTTATTATGGAACAATATGACAATAAATAAGTTTATGGATTCACATGACCTGTACAAAAAGCTGGGAAGCTCTTGCACCAAGTTAGGTACCAGTTATTTGCCTTTCATATTTGTTAAACAAATAATCTAAAATTTTATACACCTGTGGAGTTAAGGCAAAACCAGATAAGACCTTTAACACAACAGAAGGGCTTGAAAATACACAGAAATACAAACAAGGGGGATCTCATCTCCAGCTGACAAAGTGGTTGTGTCTAAGGAAGGGATCCCTCAGGAGCTGAATAAAGCAGTAATGATCAATCAAGTTAATTAAAATTGAAGAACAAGTGTGAGGTGTCCTGCAGGGCAAAGCTGTTCAGCAAAGCTGTGCCTGCATGCCCACCTTTAACCCTGAATGGCTGGAATCTGCTTTTCCTTTTAGGAACCAGTGGAAAAGAGGAACCCCTTCCATACCCAACCAGAACACATCCACGACCCCTCAGATTCATGGAGGCTGGGCTTGGCTGGGACTGAGCTCAAATATTTGGGTGAACCATCCAACACAGAACACAGAGAGGAGAGCTCACGTCAGCCCCTCAGCAACGGGAATGACCTCTCTAGGACAAGGGAATGGGTGATGGCAGCGCAGCCCAGGACACAAACATGACCAATATATCAACACAGCTCTTTGGCAGCAACACACTAACTCCTGCTTGAAGTCTGAACTCAAACCCTCCTACATGAGAGACTTGGTGCCAGTCTTTTCACAGATAAAGAAAATCCATTTCTTCCCTGAATCCAGGAAGGGAAATTGGAATAAATCTTGCAGGCAGCTCTAGGCCGAAACCTTAAGCGTTGATATTTATTGTCTGCTTGAGTCTCAGGCCAAAGATATCGTATTTGGACACACAAAACTCTGTGGAACTTCTGAGTAGTTCAGACGGGGCCAGAATCCATGGAGAGAATCCAAAATCACCCACGAGGAAGCAATAAAGAACCATCACTCCATGATGACAAAAACGATCTTCATGGAACAAGGATGAGTCCACACCTGGATGAACGGCACGGGAAAATGGACTTTACAGGGGGAAGACCAGGAAGCCAGAGAATGTCGAGTACTGCCACCCACCAACCAGATTGCCCTTCTCCAGCTTCAGGTAAACCTTGTCCTCCTTGTCCAGGTACAGCAGGACCCCGTTGGTGGCGGCCTCACGGGTGACGTCCTTGTCCCCAGCGAAAGCAGAGATCACTGGCTTCCCATTCAGCATCAGATTCACCTGCAAGAGAGCCCCTGAGAAGCTCTAATTGACTGCAAAACATCAAGAACTACCCCTGAATATTAACCATGGTGCAAGGGCCCGATCTTCAGTGCTTTTTGGGTTGTTTGAAACTAATAATGACATTTATTTATACGTGGCTGTTCATGAGCTGGACCTGCAGCTGAGTGAGGCATCACCACAGCTGGTACAACTTTGCCTGTCTCAAGGGTTATTTAGTCACACAGGAAAAATAATAAATATATATTTTCAAGAAATTTGGGCACCCGGAGATGTTACATGAGGTGTCAGAAGCACCACAGTGGGCTGGGAGCTCACACTTCACTGGAACAAAATGTATGTCCCTCTCAATACTTAGTTCTGAAGTTTAGAACAGATTTTAGCTTTATAAACTGGCTCCATTTTTTCCATAAAACACTTCTGAGGCCAGCACAGCCTCTGCTCTGAAAGCAGCATCTCTCAATAAAGATGGGCAGGGCCTGGGGGAATGGGCAGATCCAGGCATTTTTCATTTCCCCCATGGCAAGCTCTCAGCTTTGCTGCTTTTCCTTTCCAAGCAGCTCTAATTCAGTCACAGGGGGTGAATTATGGGATGCTTACCCACATCCACTGTGCTGGCCCTGCATATGGTCCCATTAATTTTAATGGGAGTCACCAGAATAAATGAGTGCTCAGCAGAAGTCAGGGCAGCAGAGGCTGGTATTTATTTGGGATTCACCTGTCTGGGAAATCCACTTAATCAGGTGTCTCCAGGGAGCCAACTGCAGTTTAATGATATTTAATGGCTCTAACAGATGTTGTGGGGGCAGAGCAGCATCCCTTGTGTGGGGAGCCTGCAGGTGATTTAGTGGGATGGATGTGGCTGAGATTCAAACCAGTTTCATCCACTGCAATGGTTTCTGGTTCTCCTCCCCATTCACCCCACAGGAAAAGGGCATCAGGGCTTTACTCATTGCTTGGCTTGGGTTTCTCACTCTTTCTGCTCCATCAGGTTCCCCTGGAAACATCTGACAGGAATTTAATCACACCAAAAGGGCACATGACAGGTCTGCAGGGGATGGTCTCACACTGAATGCTCTAAAAGGGGGCCAAGCAAACCCATCCATCACCTCAGAACCTCTCATCCATGAAAGATTTCATGCCATGAGCCACAGGCTGGAGCATTCCCTGCCACAAGCCCCAAACTCCCAGGTTTGAGCTCCTGGTTTGTGAAATTCCAGAGTCTGAGCTGGACTTCCAGAAGCCAAGGTTTGGCATCTTTCTTGGCAATGGGCATTTTAAATCCACTGAAGGGGCTGACATACAGTTATTCAACCTTCAGCATGCCAGGGAGTGAAAAGAACACTTTCTGAGCACATTAAACAGATTAAAAGCTCATTGTAGAGATTTTTGTGAGGTCAGTGTTTCATTTAAGGCTTTGTCATTGACCTGGCTGGAATTAGGATTTTCCACTGGGCACTGAAGGGGCATTTCCCCAGAGAGGGGCTCGTGGCTGTCACCAATGCCAGGAGATGGGGCTGTGGCTGTCACCAGCTCTGCCATCTCCACTTCCCCAGGAGCCTCACAGCACCCAGAGAGGGCACAGAGAGATTCCTGCAGGAATCCTGCTCAGCTCAGCCTGGCAGCCCCCAGAGCACCTCCAGGAGCAGCACAGAGCCGGGGAGAGCTCAGACACCTCAAGGGACCCGGAGCTCTCCTTGGTGGAAATGGGAGAAGCCACAGAGGTTCCTGCAGCTCTGGAAGCCAGGAGGTGTCACAGCAACTGTGTCACCTGGCAGGGAGGTGAAGGAATTACTTCAAGGAATTTGCTGTTGGCTCAGCAAGGGGGTGTTCAGGAATTTAAAGCCTTTTCCCTCTGGTGTTTAATCAGGCAGCTCCGTTGCTATTAAAGAAGTGCAGAATTACCCCTTTTCTCTAAGACATCACACACCTTTCATACACTGTGTGATGAAAAAGGGAGTTTGAATTGCTGTCAAGGTTCCTTAGAAGACATTGCTATAGGGACATAACCAACCCTGGTCCTCAGCACACTGAGGGCATAACCAGGTACCTGGCACCAGATGCCAGGGCACAAATTGTTCCAAAACCACTCAAATCTGATACCCAGAGCTCCTGTGCTCCACACAGTGAGTTTAACCTGGAGCCAAACACGACTCTTCAGCAGCATTTCAGGGAAACTCAGAGCTCCCTTTTACTCTTGGATCATTCATTCTGTGGAATGCTTTATGTCACCCAGATATTCATGGCATAGAAGTGAAGTTGTGGTTTTATTTTATCTGAGGTGAGGATCCTGCCTTATTTCTGTTCATTTTAAATTAATGGGCTCTACTGCCAGGAAGTCAACACCACAGGTTGCTGACAATGAAGCTATTTTTCCTTAAAATCATATTAAATGCTCCCATGCTCAGTCAATATTCTATCCTAAACAAACCAGTTAAATAAAGATTTTATAATCATTTTATAATCATCAACATACCTGAATTGTTTGACTCTGGTAGACTTTAATTACGTGGAAATTGAAACTGTAAATTCCCTTCCGTGGTGATACAAAGACAGACTCCAACGTGAAAAAATTGCCCACATTTACAAGGATCTACAAACAGAAAAATACAGCATGGGGATTAGTACAGGTAGTGAGTGCTAAAGAAAAATACAGATGATTTATTTTAGAAACCATTTGCCCATGAAAAATCTAATTTACATCTAAGCTGGTTTATTAATTTTCTCTGATTACTTTGGAATGACTCATTAAATGGGTATTCAGTTGTGTTTATAGGACAACTTTACTACAAACAAACTAAGATGGGAATTATTCCTTACTTTACTACTACACCATCCCCTCAAGTCCTTTCTTCCACACATGTTTTAAAGAGGCATTTTTGTTCATCATTCCCCAAAATGACATGAAAACACCAATTCTGGGAGTGGCACATGGCTTTTGGCTGAGGAGCAGTGGCCAAGCCAAGGCTGCCTTCCCAAGGAGCCAGGTGTGAGCAAGGACTGCAGGAACATCACGAGTCAAACCCAGCTCAGGCAGGCTGAGCTCCTGGAGCACCTGGCACAGCCCAGCAGAGCCTGCCTGGGAGCCCTCACCTGTCTGTGCCAGCCCTAACAATAATTGGGGTGTAATTAAACAGGGAGAAGGGACACAGGGGAATGTGCAAGATGAGTGCACCACCCATATGCTACATATCCTCTGTAATGACTGCATTTTGCTCCTTACCACCTAATTATGCTTTATTTTTAATCGATATTTTGAGGCTCCTTTGTGCCTGGCAGAGCCCTTGGAAGCCTCCAGGACTGTCCATGGAGTTTTGGGGTGATTTTTAATGGATATCCCAGGCTCCTCAGAAGCCTCCAGGACTGTCCATAAAGGTTTTGGGTGATTTTTAATGGATATTTCCAGACTTCTTTGTGCCAGGCAGAGCCCTCAGAAGCCTCCGGGACTGTCCATAAAGGTTTTGGGTGATTTTTAATGGATATCCCAGGCTCCTCAGAAGCCTCCAGGACTGTCCATAAAGGTTTTGGGTGATTTTTAATGGATATTTCCAGACTTCTTTGTGCCAGGCAGAGCCCTCAGAAGCCTCCGGGACTGTCCATGGAGTTTTGGGGTGATTTTCGGTGTCAGCACTAAGCTGTGGGGCACATCTGGCTCCAGCTGCCACCACAATTGACAGGGACAAGAAGAGCCACCAGTCTCGATGACTCCGGGAGCTGGGATCACAGCGTGTGCTGGTACCTGCCCGTTAATATCAGTGCTGGGCTGAGCGGAGCCGGACCGCCAATTGTGCCGGGAAAGTTAAAGCGTTTTCCCTTAGAATTCTCTCTCCTTCCTCCCTCAGAAGCTGCACAAACCATCTAAACCCTACACAGGCTGCACTGAGCTGCCTGTCCCCAGCCCTCGGGGCGATGTCACCCACTGGTGTCACCGGGCGCTGCTCCCGCGGCACCTACCCAAAATCTGAACCCTACCCAAAACCTAAACCCTACCCAGGCTGCCCCTTCCCGCGGCACCTACCCAAAATCTAAACCCTACATAGGCTGCACTGAGCTGCCTGTCCCCAGCCCTCGGGGCGATCTCACCCCGCTGGTGTCACCGGGCGCTGCTCCCGCGGCGCCTCCGCGCTCGGTGCCGCTTCTCCCGCAGGTGCGGAGGGGCCGGGGCCGCACTCGGGGAGCCTCCGCATCCCCAGGCTCATCGGGCCGTGCCCTGCCGCTCATCCCTGGGGCGGATTCCGGCTCGGAGCCGGGGTGCGGGAAGGGCACCTGTTGATGCGGGGGATGCTCACCTGGTCGAAGTAGATGATGCGCGTCTTGTTGCTCATCTCAGAGGGCTCGTGGTTGGTGCTCCGCACGGCCGAGAAGGCCACCTTGGAGTTGGCGGCCCGCACGGAGATGCCCAGCGGCGAGGAGGAGGAGGACGAGCCCTTGGCGTCGGGGGCCGGGTTGGAGTCGCACACCACCAGGCACTTGCCCTCCAGCACGATGGGCTCCGTGTCGTTCTGCGCGGAGGCGACGCGGCCGCCCAGCGCCAGGGCCAGCAGCAGCAGCCGCCAGCCCATGGTGCGCACCCGCGGCCGCTCCGCGCCCCGCTCCGGCCACCGCGGAGCCCCCGCGCTCCTCTCCTCCTCTCCTCCCACCGCCGCCGCTTTATGCCGTCTTCTTCCTTTTTTCTTTTCTCTTTTTTTTTTTCTCTCTTTTTTTTTTCTTCCTTCCCTCCTTCCCTCTTTCTTTCTTTCTTTCTCTCCTCTGTTTCTCTTTAAGCTGCCCAGAGAAATCCGAGCCCCGCTCCGGCCACCGCGGGAGCCTCCGCGCTCCTCTCCTCCCACCGCCGCTTTATGCCGTCTTCTTCTTTTTTTCTTTTTTTTTTTCTTTTTTTTTTTTTTCCTTCCTTCCCTCTTTCTTTCTTTCTCTCCTCTGGCTCTCTTTAAGCTGCCCGGAGAAATCCGCGCTGCCCACAACGCCCTTTCCTCCCCTCTCTCCACATCAAAAAAGAGCGTGAGAAAGGGAGGCGGGGGGAAGCAAAGCCCTCAGGTGAATTATGGCTGAGAGGGAGGAGGAACGAGGAGCGGCGGAGCAATGAACCCGGGAGGCGCTGCCATGCCTGCCGCTAATTCCAGCTGCGGGTCCGGGATGCTCGGAGCGGGGAGTGGGAGCTTCCCAAAGCTGCCAGATGCTGCTGTGATAGCAGCGGCAGAGCTGCTCACTCCCCTCCCCTCTCTCTCTCTCTGTCTGTGTGTGTCCCTCTCTCTGTGTCTCTCTCTCTGTGTCTCTCTTCTCCCGCTCCTCTCCCCGGCACAAATCCTCAAATCCACAAATCCCCCCCTCCGCAGCACTGAGGTCACTGCAAACCTGCCCAGCTCTCACCCAGCGGGGCCCCTCGAGGTTTCTGTGGGAGTGTTCGGGACACAAGACAGATGATGGACTTTGCACCTGGTTAACATGAGGGATTTGATACCAGGATGCCTTGGCAAAAGCAAAGGGAACTTTGAAAATTAGACCTGGATGGCGAGAAGATGAAATCAAACGGGTTTACTGGAAAAAGAAAACCCCATTAAACTCTGCAAGCAAGAGATGCTGATATATGCATAAGTTTGTGTGTGTGATTTTAACCTAATCACTGCAGTACACGTTACTAGTCTGCCTGAAATAGTATAGAAGTGTTTGGTGTGCAGAGCTGAGGGTGAAGCATTAATTCTGCAGAACTCAGCCAATCTTTGAGAAGCCATAAAGCAGCCAAAATTCTTAGCAAGCATCAAACTCCCTAAAATTCAGAAGGCCAAACTCAAATTTTAAGGAATCCCATTGGTCAGGCAAGAGGCAAAAATATTTCTGTTTTTAGGAATGCATCAATATCTTCTTGCTCAGTGACACAACAAAGGTGGATGGAAGGGTCCAGCAGGGAAGCAGGATTTACTGCAAGGAAAGGAAACAAGAAATCAAACAAATACTTGCAGCACAGCTTTGTACCTCTTGTAGAAATTTGATCTGCAGATTAAAAGATTCACTCCTGCGCACATGAGGACTCCAACAAAACAAAGCCATGGCAAAAATATTTATTGTAAATACAAATGTATAAATAGTTCTGCACTATTTCAACTTCTGCTTCAAACCTCTTCTGTCCCTGGCCTTAACAGTGCACAGGTAGCAGCAAATATAATTCCATCTGCACAGAAATTTCAATTGGAAGTTGAAACTGCTGATGATTTTGAGAGATAGTGGTTTGTCAGAGATTAAAAACTTTACAATCATTTTAGAAACCGAGTTTTGATTTTGCTTTGTTGTGGACAATGACATCAGGCGTCTCTACAGATATTCCTCCTAAAATCCATTCTAACCCTGCTCTCTGCCAGTTTGAGGCCATTCCCTGTGTCCTGTCCCTCCATCCCTGTCCAAAGCTTCTCCATCTTTCGCTGCAAGGCCACTCTGAGCCCACCCCAGAGCTTCTCCTGTCCAGGTGAACAATACCAGCTGTGCCAGCAGAGCTGCTCCATCCCTCTGCCCACCTTGGAGCCTCCTCTGAGCCCTCTCCAGCAGCTCCAGGTCCTGGATGAGTTTCATGGGAGTAAAACGGGCTGGAATTTGGCCAGGGGAGCCCACAGGTGGAGCAGTGCAGAGCTAGGCTGTGGCCATCAACTCCCTCCAGGTGCTGCTCCAAGAGACATCAGGGCTGTCAACGATATCCCTGATCCACAAATCCACACCTAAGGAAGCAGCCTGGAGAGCCCCTGTCACCAAAACACCTGATCCACATCAGGAAACACCTCCTCCTTTTTCCCACCCAAACAGCAGGAAGAGAGCTCCAGGGCTGGTTGTTACAATCCCTTTCTGGGTGGCTGAGCTGGGCTTTAATTGCTGAGGAAATGAGGGAAGTTTGCAGGGGATGCTGTGTGAGAGGTGAGCTGGAAAGTGGAGATTGCATTTAATTCATAAGCAGCAAGGTTAATGATTGCTCTTATTTCATCTGACAAAGAATTCCTCAGTATTGATCCAGCTCCCTCTAACAGGGATTTTGTGTTTCTTCCTTTGAAAGAAAAATGAGTAAAATAAATAGCAACAGCAAACAACAATGGAAATTCAGTTAGATTAAGCTCACAGCTTCTTTCCCTTTCTGGACACACACTGTGTGCCTGAAACTGCCTCCAGTTGGGAGAATTTTGCTGTTTCACAGGAGACTTCCAGCACTGAGGCAGCTTTCTGACAGAAGGAAGAGCCGCAGGATAAAACCCCACGTTTGCATTTACATTTCCTTTTACCTCTCGCCTTGTAAACCTGCATTAAATACAATTTCTGTATCCATATTGCATGATACCTCCCAAATCTCTTCTGAAACAGAACATCCTGCTTTGTATAATTAGTCATTTGCCTTACAAAAGGGAGGAATAATCTGCCTCTGACTTCCTCTCACGCTCGGTGCTTGTGCCTGGAGGCCTTTGGAATCTTTCTAACCCCTGTGTAACAGAGCCCTCCTTCCTCTCCTGGCTTTTCTTCTTCAGCCTAATTATATCTCCCTTCATTTGCTGAGCCCGGAGAGGTTTTTGCAGGGAGCTGAGCCCCTCTGGGGTCCCCCCAGGCTCTGCACAGTGCTGAGCCCACCCTGAGCAGGAGACGCGGCCTGAGGGGGAGCAGGGGGCTCCATCCCATAATAATGATGGCATTCCCCACCCGTGGTCATGGCCAGGCTTCCCCTGGGCTCTGGCATCCCCTGAGGCTGGGATTGCAGCTCCTGGGCTGCCTGGGCTCTCCATGTGCCCCAGCAGGGCTGGCTCTGGCTCGGGGCCCTCTGCTGCTCCAATTGTTGGTAGGCCCAAGCCAAGGCCTGCCCAATGAGGTTCTTAAAAACAGCCCGCAAATGTTTTACAAAGGAAATTTCACTTCATTTATAGGAGCATAAAATGTAAACAGATCCTGTAGGAGTAGAATGAAATCTTCAGCTGTACACTGACTGCAATGATTAGAAGGTTTTGGTCTTCACTTTGATGCAGACTCAAGCCTAGGTTTTCCTTGCTTCATTTTAATCTAAACTCCAATTTTCCTTGGTTTTTTTAATTAAACTTTTTTATACTTTCCCTATTTTAATGCACCTCACTTCAGTCCATCCCATCTTCAAGAATGTTTTGCAATTTCTGCAGCAGCGGAACAGAGAAAACAATAAAAACCAATTTCCTACATGCATTTGTTGGGCTGCTTTAGTTTCCCTGCCACTCTGCTATGATAAAGCTGTGCTCTGATGGCCTCCTCAGGAAAGGGAATTTTCCAGCTGTCTGTGAATTTTGGAGGTGATTAAGAAAATGAGTCAGCAGGATGCCTGCATGTGTAAAGGCAGCACTGCTCAGATCTGCTGACAGCTCTGGCACCTGAGGTCTTTATTCAGCATTTTTGAGCAGCCAGACCTTCCCTCTGACCAAAGCTGAGCACAATCCAGCAGCAGGTGGAAACTGGGCTTTGAAATCCTCCCAGGCAGATGCTGGGAGCTACTCCTTGATGGATGCCTGGGAATATTCCAGTTTTTCTGTTTCTCTGGGTTTACATCAGTTTAAAAGTGAGAGCAAAATGTGACCCTGGAAGTTCCTCTTGCTCCCCCTGAGGCCCCAGGTAGGAGTCAGTTGTTTGCAAATGTCATCATCAATCTTCACTAAACTATCCACAAATAGCTTGATATTTCTCGTATTTATGTTTATTCAAAATATTTCCAGGAAATATTTACATGTTTAACCCTCCTGTAAAAACTGAGGTCAGGTGGATTAAGGCAAAAAATCAAGTACACACATTACCTGCTTTTAAAGCAGGTGTTTGCATGTAAAACTTGCCATAAAGCAAAATTTAATTCTTGTTTACTACTGTATTTCTCTTATGTTTTTCCACGAATTCCAGCCTTTGGGGAGGGTGTCAGCACAGCTCTCCTGCCTGCAGAAAGGGAGAGACAAACGCAGAAAAAGGATTTACACACCTGAACCACAAAGTTTTGTGCATTTTGAGCTGAAGGCTCCATCCCCTGCAGCTTGGAGAGCAGGGGCACCACAGCAGGGCCGTCCTTCCACAGGGCAAGTCCAGTAATTCCATCAAATGGAGGGTTTGGATGGGGTTTGATTTTCCTGATCAGCCCCATTCCTGACAGCAGAGGGAGAGATCAGATTGCTCTGCCTGGCAGGATTCAGTGTGAGCATTGATGACAGCAACCTGGGATATTATCTGGGGGATATTTACTGACTGAGAAAAGTTCCTGGGCTGGAATTGAGCAAATTTCTGTTTATAATTGCATCATTTCAAGCGAAGTCCTCCAGAGCTTGTTCAGGAAAATTTCTAGGAGCTACGAGAAGAATTTTGGGATGAATCTGCTCATTAGTAGTTGATCTTTCTGGACAATAACCTTTGGGGTTTTTAGGTCAGTGCTTATGAGCAAATGACATCACCATAGCAGAGCTCATCAGTTATTTACCCTTATGGAAAGTGTCAGTGATTTCTGTTTCTAAACACATTGCAGCATTTCTAAACTGCATCCAGGGACTTCAAATCTGCATCTGAAACCTTTTGTTTCAAACGTCTCATTTGTTAAACGAGCTTAAAGCAATATTTAGCTACTTTGTGGCTTTCTCTCATTTAATTACTGCTGACTGCCATTGTATAAAATGTCCCCAGTGGGCAAAATTCATCCCTGGGTAAACAGGCAGCAAGTGGGAAGGCTTAAAGCTCATTTAGCAATGCCTGCAATCATTTCTGTGCACTCCCAAAACCCCTCTGTGCTGCTCAGACACATCACACCACGCTGGGAGGTGAAGGATTCAAGGTAATGCTAAAGAAAACCTTATTTTCACCAAGTGTTCACCCCTGAATTAGCTGGAGCTTTCAAAGTCTCTCCTGCTCTTTGCTGCTCTGGGAATGAAACAGCTGGTTCAGCTTTCAGTACATTCTAAACAGTGAAAAAATTCATATTTACATTGACTGTGGGGAGAAAACTTACCGGATGAGCATCTTGGCAGCCCATTCATGCAGGGACTGACTGGAGCCTTGGACCTGTGAATATTCCCCCCAAATTCTGGGAGTGAGGCAGGGCAGGCTCTGCCCAGAGAGCAGGCCCTGGGTTTGCAGTTTTCTATATTTTCTTTTTTAAGATGAGCAGTTTCAAGCTTGGTTGTGGTTTTTGTGGTTTTTCTGAGCCATCAACTGCTTTAGCACAGGAGGATTTTCTGAGAACTCTTCCAGCTTTGGTTGTTGTACAGCGAGCACCCAAAAACCCTTTCAAAAACCCCACTTTTATTCTCTTTCTCTAACAGCATTTCCCCTCCTCCTAAAACTGGTTTGGATTAGAAAGGCATTAATTGAAACCAGAAACCAGCATTCACAAGTGATGTCAAAGCTTTTCTGCACAGAACACCTTCCAGGTGACCACAATTTTAATTTTATTGCTCATTTCTACAAATTAGCAGGAACACTCTGCCTGGTGCCTGCAGTTCAAGTAGGAAAGGAGGAAAGAAAAAAAAGAGGAAAACTGGGAAGCCAAGTTCAGCCACTGCCCTGGGATATAATTGTCCATTTGTGGAAGTGAAATTTTTTCCACTGACTCTAGTGCTGGATAATCTCTGCTCTTTGCATCGTTGGTTTGAAAGCCTGGGAGAATTCTGCCCCTGGGGAAGATACTTGTATTTAAAGCTGTGAAGATATTTGTATTTAAAGCTGTGAATTCCTGAAAAGCCCTGGTGAGTGGTGCCCCTGTGGGAGCTCAGATCCCTTCAGTGAGCTGTGCCTAAAGCAGCTCCACTCCTTCAGCATTTCCTGGGGCAGGTTCCAGCTCCCTGAGACCTTGGATAAAGTCAGGGATTTCTCCTGGGAGCCCCAGGCCCGGGTGTGGGGCTGCTCTGAGCTGTGGCTCTGCTGAAGGCCATTAATTCTAACATGAGAGACAGAAATTATCCTCCCTGCTCCTGCCACCCTGCCAGAAATGTGCACTTGAAGGAAAGAAACCATGGAAAGAAATCTCCTTTTGCTCCTGGAGCCAGTGGCTGTGACACTGCTGAGCTGCCAGCAGAGGAAACTCAGTGCAGGTTTGACCCCACACAGGCAAATACTGAGACTAATTTCAGTGACCAGAATTTCTCATAACACCTTCGCTAAGATTTCATATTCCACAATGTGCCAAAAATCAGCCCAGTGGGAAAAAAAAATATGTAAACTGTAAAAAAGCATGTAAAGATATAAAAATACTGCAGTTCTGGCAGGTCAGATTGCTCCTAAAGTAAAGTTTTCCAAAAGAGAAGCATCACCCAAAGCTTTTATGACTTTTGCAGGATAAAACCATCACCTGCTGAGGAGGGAATCCAAGGCCATCATTATCCACAGGGAGACTTGGAGCTCATCTATATCACCCCAAATAAAAGTTCAGGTGTAAAAAGCATTATTCCCTATGCCACCAAAACACAATAATACAATTTAAGAGAGCTGAAAAGCCCCAGCCTCATGCTAAATAAGTTAAGAACTAAAGAATGAGGTAGGGAGCAAGGTCTAGTCAGTTTTTACATATAAATCAGGATGTCTCAAGCTCCCAGGCACTGAAGGAGCAGCTTATTTAGGAAAATGGAAGCAGCTCCCACTCCATAGGAAAGCTTTGTGCTCTCTGAAGAGGATAGAACTTCATGCCAAGAAGGTACTTTTTTTAAAATTTTAATTAATTTTTTTTTAATTAATGCTCCAGGATGTTCACACAAAGGCACAGATATCAACCACTGGGCAGGATATATTTTTAATTGGCAGAGGCCTTGGCAGCTGAGCTATAAAACAAGAACAAGCTGTTAAATAGAATAATGGAGAAGAAAGACTTGGGGGAAAAAAGTAATGAGAAAAAAAAATTTAAAAAAAAAGGAAAAATCTTTAGTTAAAAGAGACTTAGCAGGAATTTGGAGCTGAAAAACCATGAAATTTATCATGAGCATCACGACTGCTGCTCAGGGATGCAGGGATCTTGATGCCATGGAAATGGCACTGGGATCCAGGATTATCTGACATGAGTCCCATGTAAATGAGGGGAATTCAGGTTTTGGAGCTGTAATCACACACATCAAAATCTGCCAGTGGTGCTCACAGGGCAGCACATGCACTGGGCAGGGCTGCAAGGCATTCAAAGGGAATTGAATTTTCCTCTCCCAGGCAGAAATGAGGGGAGGAAGCTGCAGATCCTGCAGGTGATGCTGACCCGAGGCAGACACAGCCAGCTTTGTGTAAAATTAAACACCTGAACTGCTTCTGCAAATATTTTGATGTAAAATAAGTCTCAGGAGTGCTAATTTTGGTTCTGTTTCACTCCTTTTGCCTCTGAGGAGGGTGACTGGGGGCACAGCCCCAGCAGGGCTGTTGGGAAGCCCAAATGTGACATTTTTCAAGGAAAAAGTCTTCCATCTCCACCTTCCAGCAGTGCCCAAGTGTCCCTGACCCTGAAATTCTCTGTGCAGGGGCAGCCAGGCTCTGTCCCTGAGCTCCGGGGTCCCACCTGGAGAGGAAATGCTGGAGGTGGAGGAGAGGGAAATCCCAGCTCAGAGGGGGCTCAATTCCAGCTCAGAGAGGGGTTAAATTCCAGCTCAGAGAGGGGTTAAATCCCAGCTCAGAGAGGGGTTAAATCCCAGCTCAGAGCCAGCTCAGAAAAGGGTTAAATCCCAGCTCAGAAAAGGGCTCAATTCCAGCTCAGAGAGGGGTTAAATCCCAGCTCAGAAGGGTTAAATTCCAGCTCAGAAGGGTTAAATCCCAACTCAGAGAGGGGTTCAGTCCCAGCTCAGAAGGGTTCAGTTCTAGCTCAGAGAGGGGTTAAATCCCAGCTCAGAGAGGGGTTCAGTCCCAGCTCAGAAGGGTTAAATCCCAGCTCAGAAGGGCTCAATCCCAGCTCAGAGAGGGGTTAAATCCCAGCTCAGAGAGGGCTCAATCCCAGCTCAGAAGGGTTAAATCCCAGCTCAGAGAGGGGTTCAGTCCCAGCTCAGAAAGGTTCAATCCCAGCTCAGAAAAGGGTTAAATCCCAGCTCAGAAAAGGGTTAAATCCCAGCTCAGAGAGGGCTCAATCCCAGCTCAGAAGGGTTAAATCCCAGCTCAGAGAGGGGTTCAGTCCCAGCTCAGAAGGGCTCAATCCCAGCTCAGAGAGGGCTCAATCCCAGCTCAGAGGGGTCTCTGATTCTGGGGTTCTGAGGGCACCTGACCCTTTCAGGGGTTCAGCCCCAGCTCCTCTCAGTGCTCAGGGCAGGGGCAGTGTTCAGCATTCCCATCAGAGCCCAAACACTGGGCAGAAAGACCCAAAATAAATCATACAACTCTCCTAAAATAAACCATTTTCACTTTTCTCTCAGCCCACGCTGCTTGCAAACCTGGGAGGGGAAATGCCAGATTTTATCAATGCCCTTTTACAACTGTTTTCTGCTTTTAATGTTAAACACACAATTTTGTCATTTTAGGCATCTCTAGGCCTCCTTCTCCTCCCACTCATTGAGCTCCAGGTAATTATTCTAATTAAAAACGTGCAAAAGCCAACAAACACAACAGGAAACATTTCCTCTTTTGAAAACCATGGATAATTCCCTCCCATATCCATTCCTTAGATGCTTCATGACAATTTTTTATTTTGTTGCTCTGACATTCTTCTCTTCCTGCAATGCAAATCTTATATATTGATTAATTTCTGTAGTATTTGTGGCAAATACATGACATTTGCCATAAAAAGTGCTATTTTATTTTCCTGCTTAGTGGGGACAAGGCAAAATAAAACACTCAGCCAGACACTTTCTTCATTACATAGCAAGTTTGCAATGTTTTAATAGCAAAATAAACAAGACTTTGTTTAAATATTCTCCTCTGTGGGTAACAGCTCCCCATTTCATTATAAAATGTGTGAAGTATTCTTTAGAAATTAGGTCACCATACAGAATAATGAAAATAATAATTAAAACTGGGGCAGAAGTCGGGGTATTCAAAGGAAATGACTGAAAAGAGAAATTATAAAAGGTCAAAAGTGGTTTTTTTTCAATATATGGGAATCTCAAGGTACAAAAGCACAACATTGAGAGGCTCATCAGTGATCTGGGATATTACAGGTTAATACCACATAAAATTCCACATTTGAAACTGAAATGTCTCTCAGAATCGAGGTGTTCTGCTGCACAGGTGAGCTTGGCAAGGTGCTGCTTACCAGTAAAGAAAAAAACAATGAAAAAATTGTTTCCTGGGCTCCTCCTTCCCTCCCCCAGCCATGAAATGTGTGTGTCCTCATGGTGTGACCTCAGCACAGGCCTTCCTGAACTCACAGATGAAGGAGGAGATCCACCCAAAGAGCTCCTGGGAGTCCAGGTCTGCAGGCTCCCCAAACCTCACCTGCAAATGGAAATAAAGGAATTTTTAACTTCTGAGTGACCCAAGCCAGGAGCTTAGCAAAGCTTAAAGGGCAGAGGAAAGTGAAACACCTCCATTATTGTTCATATTGATATAAAGAGGAATGAGATCTATAAAAGATACATAAAGAGGAATAAGAGGTAAAAGAAGAAGGGGAAGAGGAGGAAGAAGCAAATTTTGAGCTGTCTGAAATCTCCAGGGAACTGAGACCCAAAATATCCCAAATAAAAGTGATCTAAGGAGCTGTCACTGAATTACCTCAGTAACCTGGGTTAATCTCTCTGGCTGTATCACAAATCTCCAGCTGAAGAGGAGAAAATTCAGCAAATCCTGAAGTTTTCTGGCTCTGAATAGATGAATCTATTAATAATGAATAGATGAATCTATTCATTAATGTGTACCAAAATATCTCAATTCCAGGACCAGGATATTGTTCCAGTTCCAGAGGTTATCACTGCATTTCTGTCCCTTTCCTTAAGATCTCTGACCACTGTTAAATATGGGATTTTCTTTCTTTTCCTACAGCCAGTGTGAATATAAGGCAAGTGGGAATTTCTTGCACTCCTTTCCCCTCCTTCCTTCCCTTTTAAAAAAGAAATGTGGCTTTATTTTCATTGCATTTCAGTATGATATGTACCAGTACGTTGCTATAAAGCTTCTTCATTTCCTCACATCTTTTTGACAGCTGGGAGAGATCCCCTTCATATTTCTGAATTAAATCCTGTAAAAAAATAAAACTTCTTAATTTGCTGTAGGAGCATAGGATTAAAGCAGGAATTAAACAGCAGTGAAAACAAAATCATTCAGGGCGAAATTTTCATGTCATAAAAATTTCACATTTCACAAAAGAGAAGCACACACATTCCCTTGCAAGATTTAAGACATCAAAGACAAAAAAAAAAAAAAGAAACATCAACATTAGAGAATTTTAAGTGTATTATAAAATGACAAAACCTAAATCCATTTAAAGTGGCAGAGCCAGAGAGGCATCACAAGGTCCTGATTTCCAGAATATTTGGCTTTTTTGCCTGTGCAGCAAACAGTGCCATTTCCAGGTGCTTAAGGGGCAGAAGGAGGGCTTTAGAAACAAGCCTGGAAATAAAAGTTCTTCATTTTCCCTTGTTTGTAGCATTCACATTTTAGATTTTTTTTTTTTTTAATTCTGAAAAGCATTTAAAATTATGATAAAGTATTGGGTTAAACTTCCCAGAGTGCCTGGGAAGGGAAAACAGGAGGTGCAGAAGCCCTGAAAACCCTTCCCACACTGTAGATCACAGCCTGAGACACCCTCAGAAGGGAATACAAAGCCACTTTCCCTCAAATTCTCCTCATTCCCAGGTGTCTGCACTGACTCCCAGGTTACTCCTCCCTTACTCCAGCCCACAAGGAGGTTGTGGTGGTTTTACCTTCAGTTCCTTGCAGAACTGGGACTCCTGGGTTGTTGCCTTGCTTGCTTTGGGCTTGAGGAGCCTCCTGCACTGGATAAGGTTCTCCAGTTCTTTTTTTAAAACTAACAAAAAGAACAGAAAATGAGGAATTCCACCAGCATGAGGAGGTGTCCAAAAGGCTGCAATTGTCTAATTTAGGAAAATAAAAGAGACTGTGGGTCTACAACACATTTATCTAGGAGGATTAAGCTCCTGGTGGGAGGTAGAGCTCCTGAAAAAGGCATTTTCCAGGGGAAAAATGTGATCACACCCCTGCAAATGCAGGATGAGGAAGAGGTGGAGAGGGTGGTAATGCAGCAGCCATGAATCCCAGCCATGAGCACTGGGATCAACCATGGAGAAAACATCCTGGATTGGAAGGTGGATTGGAATGCTTGGAGCAGGATAAAACACTGCAGGAACCCTGAGCTGCTCCCAGAGCTGAGCCAGGGCCCAGAAGGGGCTCAAGGTTGGCCAAACCAAAGGTGAGAGCGAGCATGGTTCAGATCTGCTACCAAAGGCTGAAATTGGCCATACTGGTCTGCAGTTATGGCCAACAGCCACGTCACACCTTCAAAACACAGATTTTGATAGATTTCAACATAATGAACACCATTTCCACCCACTGACACTCTGCTATCAGCTTTCAAAGGGTTCAATGTAAAACCCACTGAGCTCACAGCTCATGGGACTGTTCCATGGGGGGATGGAAATCCATCTCACAAAATCCACCTCACAAAATCCATCCCACAAAATCCATCCCACAAAATCCACCTCACAAAATTCCATCCCACAAAATCCACCTCACAAAATCCACCTCACAAAATTCCATCCCACAAAATCCACCTCACAAAATCCATTTCCTAAAATCCATCCCACAAAATCCATCCCGCAAAATCCATCTCCCAAAATCCATCCCACAAAATCCATCCCACAAAATCCACCTCACAAAATCCATCTCCCAAAATCCATCCCACAAAATCCATCCCACAAAACCACCTCACAAAATCCCTCCTACAAAAGCCATCCTACAAAATCCACCTCACAAAATCCATCTCCCAAAATCCATCCCACAAAATCCATCCCACAAAAATCCATCCTACAAAATCCACCTTTCAAAATCCATTTTACAAGATCCATCCCACAAAATCCATCTTCCATTTGAGCAACCTTGTTCTGCCCCTCCTGCTGACTTCACTGGTGCTGGAGTGCTTTTCAGAGAAGGAATCCAGTTTGTTTCCAGAAAGTTCTTGAACTCCAGGAAGTTTCTCCTGCTGCATTCCCACTCCCATCTCCCAGGGACTCTCCCAGCCATCCCTGTGATGGAGCACTTGTACCACTGAACTTTTGTATTTTATGATAAACTCCATTTACCGTGGCCAATACATTTTTTTACATTTCTAAACCACCTGGACACACTTCAATATTTCTTTTCTTTTTTTAATTCCTCACAGTAATATGGCAGGTTAAGCATCTCCATGGCAACACTTTCACCTCAATGTTTTGAACCTTTAACTCCCTTTACAAACTACAGAGGTGCAGTGAAAACCTGTTCCAAATGACTGCACATTGCATGAAAATCTGCCTCTGAATGTAGAAACCCCATTTACATACCATCAACTTCAGCACTGAGGCCCTTCATGGATGCTGGAAAGGAAGAGAGAGGGGGGAAAAACATGATAATGCCCTTTATAATGATAATATCATTTATACAGTGAGAAGCACAGAAGCTGAAGAACTTCATTTTTTATTTGTTGATTATTTTCCCCCCTCCTCTCCTCTCACCATCAGGAACAGCTTCAAACTCTGTCAGCTCCTGGGGGAAGGTGGCCAGCTCGGGCTGGTGGGAGAGGATCTGTTCCACCAGGGCGTGCAGCAGGGTGAAGGTCCTGTCCCTGCCCCTCAGCAGGGAGAGCTGCAACAGAGCACAGCAACAGCACAGCCTGAGCCACCAGCCCTCAAAAGAGAAATAAAACATGGAAAAGGAACAGCAGAGATGCTGGTAGATCCCAGGTACACTTGGCAAGAATAGGAAACAATGAATTAAACCTGAACAATGAATTAAATCCTCTTCATGTTGCTGTTTCACACACACTCTCCTGGCTCGTACCTGGTGTCTAACCAGGGCCTGCAGCTCACACAGTTGTCACAGACATCTTTTATGGAAAATCCTTTCCTTAGGATTTTTCCTCCTGAGAAGCTGAGAGGCCTCAGGAACAAAATGTGAACAATGGTTATCTGCTGCTGTGGAATGCAACAGGTGCATCTGGGATTGGGCTCATATGGTTGTTTCTAATTAATGGCCAATCACAGTCCAGCTGGCTCGGACTCTGTCCCAGACACAAGCCTTTGTTATCATTCTTTCTTTTTCTATTCTTAGCCAGCCTTCTGATGAAATCCTTTCTTCTGTTCTTTTAGTATAGTTTTAATATAATATATATCATAAAATAATAAATCAGCCTTCTGAAACATGGAGTCCGATCCTCGTCTCTTCCCTCATCCTGGGACCCCTGTGAACACGGTCACACACAATTCCTCATGCCAAGGGATTTTAATATCAGGGCAGGCAGCATTTTGATGCTCTGCCTCATTAGAGGCACAGTGTATTCAGCAGCACAAAGGCAGAGCTGCTGCCTGCAGTGGGACACAGCTTGTGATCACAGGCACGAGAAATTCAGGGTTCAGCAGCAGCTTGGAACCAAGGGCAGGTGGTAAAATGTGAGCTCCTCATTAGGAATTATTGCCTCTCTCCACACTGAAAATAATTATATTTATTATTTTATAGCATTAATATGCTAGTATTTGTTAGCATATTCATGCTAGCAAACCTTAGAACAGGGTGATTTTAGCAGCAGTTTGTAACCAAAGCCAGGTGATAAAATGTGAGCTCCTCATTAGGAATTATTGCCTCTCTCCACACTGAAAATAATTACATTTATTATTTTATAGCATTAATATGCTAACAAATATTAGCATATTAATGCTAACAAACCTTAGGACAGGATGGCTTTAATTACAAGGAGATGTTTACTCACCTTGGCCAGAGAGGACAGTCGGAATCCCTTGGCCACCTCTTTCCCAGCTTTTTCATTCAGGTGGTTCCCCATGGCTAAAATGTACTCCAAGACAGCCACAAACTTTGGGCTGGACTGCAGCTGCTTGCTTGCTTGGATGTTCTGGGTGATCAGCTGGAACACACAGAGCTGGCTCAGACAGGCTGAAAATGGGGATAAACCCGTGGGGTCTGTGCCTCCCTGTGCCACCCTCCCTGTGCCAATCCCCCAGGGACTTTCAGCAGGGCCAAACTCCCCAGGACAAAGCTGTGCTGGCACAGCCACCCCAAAAGGACTCACATCCTTTCTGGCTGCCAAACCAGCCCTGCCAGAACTACTGCAGCCTCCTGTGCACAAAAAGGGTTTTGCCCAAATTTCAGGGGTCAGGGGAAGCAGGGTCTGGAGCTCCATCCTTCACTCCCTCCTTTCCATTTGCACCAGCTCAATGCTCTTATCAGAATTCTTAGCACAGTTTCCCCACAAGGAAGAATAATAATTTCCTGTACTCAAACTCAGTATAATTCAGTTTTCCCAAGGAAAAGCCACCTCCCTTCTCGGGATTTAAGCACAGAAGGGGATTTTGTTTTGAGTTAAAAAATCTGTTTGTTTTTAGCACCACACCTCTTTTCATCAGCCACCAATACAGAAATTTAAAAACAGGGAGAGATGAAGCATTTGGGTGCACTAAGAGCTGTTGTTAAAGCATTTATAGCTCAGGGCCAGAGGGTGCTGAAAGCCAAAATTCACATTGTCCCTTAGGATTTCAGGTGTATATTCTGTGATTTAAAAATACGTGCTAGCAAGAATAAGAGCACACTTAGTCACTAATTAGCTCTTCAGTGAACATTAAATATCCATCAAAGCAAACAGTGCGTGGAATAACTTCCAAATATTCAATACTGGGCTTCAGTGGAGGACAGCAAAGGTGCAGCTGCAGCAGGCAGGGTCAGGAATGTCTGCACCTCCCCTGTGCTTTCCATCTGCTCCTCTCCTGAGCTCCCCTCACTGTTACTGTGCCTTTAATCATAGCCCCACAAAGGATAAAACCACTTGGTCTCACAGAACTTCCACATTTTGTTTTCATTCCCGTGCAGAACAAGGGCAAAAACCTCTGAAACATTTTGGTGGTGTGGAAATGCTTGCTGTGAATCAAAGCATGGACAAAACCTGGCAGGTAAGGCAGGGTTTGGAGCAGCAGGATCCAGTCATGAGACTGGCACTGGTTTGTTTGCATCCCCCCACCCCTGGGTCATCCTGGAAAAGGCAGAGAGGGACTTGAGCTCTGGCTCCCAAAAATTCCAGTCCAGGGCTGTGATCCTTAGGGGGAACAGCTCCTCCAGTCTTCAGGAAATAATAAATCTCGTGGAGATTTGTCAAATGAACTTCCTCCTTGCCTTAGACTGGTTCTTTCAGCTCATGGGGCCAGAGCCTCCCCATGAAGGGAATTGAATTTTAATGGTGAAATTCACTTCTGGCTTATCCAGAGAAGGAGGAAAGTTTAATAACTCCAAATAAAATGTTGAGGATTTTTCCCTGTTCTTTTCTCTCTCTTTGTGGAAGTCTGTTCTACTGCCACACCCATTATTCTGAACCCTGGTGGAATAAGGATGGTGTTAAACACACAAGTGGGGAAAAAACCCAAAAATAATCCCCCCAAACTACAGAGCCTTGAAATGTGCACTGAGGTGATTTGGGCCTCTCTTTTTAAGCTGCCAGGATCCCAAACACTCCCGGAGGGCTCCTGTACTCACAGGCTCCAGGTCTCTGATGCTCTCGGGGAGCTCACGGACGCTGAGCAGCAGATCCAGCCTCTGGCCCAGCTGGGGGATTTTACACATCTGCACAGAATGGAGCAGAACCAGAATAAAAACTCACATTCATGCCAAAACATGCAAATTCCTTTCATTATTTACTGAGCAATTCAGCTGTGCCATTGTTTGCCTGATTTCTGTGCTCATTTATTCATTTTATTCTGGGCCTTGATCCTGTGGATACACTCTGGCACAAACCTGCAAATTCACTGTATGCTCCTGGGCAGACATGATTAAAATCAATTGCAATCTTTTCTTGTGATCAAAAATGGTTAAATACCTATAAATTTATAGATCATGGCTTCTAGATTTTGGGAATCTAGATCTAGGCCAGGATAAATACTCTGTAGGAAGAAGAGACTTGGAGACACAAAGGGATCCATAGTTCTCTTTTTGTTATCTACCTGTCCCAAGTCTTCAGCAGAATAATCCTTTTATACTGATTCTGGGTGAGATTGTAAATTTAAGTTCTAAACAACAGCTTCTTGCCGTGGTTTTAGCTTGGAGAGTGTCCTAAAAATAGGATGTGGTGTCTTTTAATATTGCAGCTCCTCACCTCTAACATGAACTGGTCAACCACGTGCAGCTCTGAGCAAGGCCCCTTGAAGGACAGGTACCTTTCTGCATCTTTGGCTGTGGGCAAATATCTGTAGAGAGAAAATTAAAATTAGGGGTCCTCTTCATTCTGTATTCTGATAAAATAATTCTGCCATTCGTTGCCCTGGAATTTCCTGCATTTTGTGTGGTTTATGTGCTCATATTTACTGCTTATCCTTTGGAGGCATTGGAACCACCTGGGAGATGGGAAGCAGAAGTGATCTGCAGACACCTCTGGATATCTGGAAATGATTCCATGCAGATAAGGCTTGAAAACAGCCAGAATGTCCACCTGCAGATATTCAGAGAATTTAGAATGACAGAATAGTTTAGAAAAGGTGAAACCACAAGACAGAGGAGTTCAGGCCCTGATTTCCAAATAGGTTGGATCCTTTCTTATCTCTGTTATGTCAGAATCACAGAATATTCTGGGCTGAAAGGTACCCACAAGGATCATCTCTGTTAATTCATAATCACAGAATATCTCAAAATCACAGAATATTCTGGGCTGAAAGGTACCCACAAGGATCATCTCTGTTATCACTGAATATCCTGGGCTAGAAGGACCCACAAGGATCATCTCTGTTATCACAGAATATTCTGGGCTGGAAGGGACCCACAAGGATCACCCTGTCCCTCCTGGCCCTGCACAGCCACCCCAACAATCCCAGCCTGGGGGGTTTCTCTTCTTTACCTTGATTTTTACAGGGTTTTTTACTTGCTGAAGCAGTGACAGCACAAACCACAGACCCACAGCTTCCTCCTCACAAGGTCACAGAATATCCTCCAGGGCCACAGATTTTGAGAATATTGATGTTTTCAGATATGCCTCAGCTTGGAAAAACAAACACAGCAGCACAGCTGCCTTCCTTTGGAGCTCTGCCTGCCTGTCTGAGCCACCACTGGGGGAATTCACAGCATTTGTTCAGAAAAACCAAACCCATGTCACAGCTCACATGTGAGCAGTGCAAAGAAGCTGAAATAAGCATTCAGGTCTCCTCTCTTCTCTTTCTCTTAAAACAAACTTCTAAATTTGCTGCAGGAGAGATTAAACATTCATGGGTAGAGCTATACATTTCCAGTAAAAGTCAGGGAATTTACTCAAAGATGGAAAAAAGCAAATATTTTAGCACCTTAAGCGCAGGACAAACACCAAGATTTATTTTACTGTTGTCAATAATTGATATGACATTTCAATTGTAAAATTGCTGGGGTTTGAATGAACTCTAGTTTGTAGCAGATGAAAATGTAAACCTTTCAGCCCCCTTTACCATCAAGGAAAAAAATGAATTTTCATTTAAAAATAAGTTGGCTGTTGGCAAATGAAAGGGTGTTTACTCATCATTAAAAATAGTTTGAGCTTTTAAGCAAATTCATAGAATGTATTTTAAAAGGTGACAGCAAACATCTTCATTTAATCAGAAGTCTGATACCCCATAAAATTCTTTAGCTGCATTATGCATAGAAAATGGAAATAACAGATTATCTGGAAGGTTTAAAGCTTAAAGCATTAAACAAAGGGAGCCATGAGAAAGGAGGCACAAAACCACGTGAATGCATTCCATAAATATCTCTGTACATGAATGCAGCTCTAATGGAATTTGCACAATGAAAAAGATTCCCATTTCTTTGGGGAAAAAAATTAAGTTTAGAGAGACATGGAGTGCTTTGCTGGTAAGACCTGAGGATAAAGAATCATCCAGAGATGGAGAGGTTTCTGTATCAAATTCATTCGTGAAGTTGCCAAAGATATCCCACCACTTATACTGGATGCATGAACAGGACACACTGCCTTGAAAATGGAATTTTGGCTTTGATTTTAAGTATTTTTCACTCTCCAGCAGTAGGATTTTGACAACTTTTTTTCCCTCTCCTGATGCCTCAGGTTTGGCTTTTCTATTTTCAGATTCTGTGCTGCTTTAGTGTGTGGGTCTGGGTTCACATTCAGCGTTGCTGAGCTCTGTGCACAGAGCAGGGAGACAAAACAATTCCTGCTCCAGCTGGGCACCAAGGACAAATGACCCAAATCTCAGCCCAGGAGCACAAACCCCGTGGGCTGGAGAGAGAAAAACAAGGATGGGACTGCAGGGGCTAAAGCTGGAATGGGACAATGAACTGCAAGGTGCAAATGGAGCAGAACTGATCTCAGGGAGAGACCCCGTGCCCGGCCGTGCATTTTGGGGCCATTTTGGTTCATCTTGGGTGCAGCCCTGGCTGGGCTCTGGTGCTGCCCAAGGTGGATCCATGGAGGAGATGCTTTGAATGAATCCCTGCTTTATTCTGTAGCTCCATCCAGTCTCTGCTCCAGCTCAGCCTCTCAAGGCATCACTCCAATAAAAGGATTTTGACATCTTTAAATATTTTTCACTCTCCAGTGGTAGGATTTAGACCCTGTGCCCTGGCTCAGACCCCCTGACAGGTACAATTTGCGCTGAGAAGAATTTTCCAGCCCTGTCCTGTCCTGTTTGGACTCCTGTCCTGCCCATGGGTTCCAATGAACTGGAGGCCACAGCTCCCAGAGGTGGGATTTGCCCTGGGACTCCAGAATTGAGTGGGAGCTCTCCAGAAGTGCTGAGTGCCCTCCTCGTGCAGTGCCAGCCCACCACAGAGCCTGGTGCCAGGGGGACCTGGAGGGGTGGTGCTCCAGGAGAATTCCTGCCTGCTCCTGCCATTCCCCAGGGCACTTCCCCTTGGGAATAATCCAAGGTCTCATTTTGGGATGAATCTCAACTTTTACACTCAAAACTCTTGGGGTGGAAAAAAATTCAGTTTCCTTTCAGTGCAAGATTTGCACATGGGTTCATCGATTTTGGCAGTAAATAACAATCCCAGGGACAGAACCCTTGAAGCCAGATAGCGTGGTTTGAATCCTTGAAATTATACAGCACAGAGCAATACAACAATCGATATCCCTTACACATTCCACTGCTGGGAATATTCCCTCAGCATTATTGCCATCAAAGAAAGACTTCAAGGAAAAAAAAATATGATATTTCAAGCTTCATTGCCATCATTATTATTATTATTGTCTGATGGCAAAGAGCCCAGAGGCCATAAATCAGTGATGCCACAGCAATTTCAGCAGCCTGGAGATCCTGGACTGAATCCTGAGTGTGATAATTCACTTGTGGGGAATTTTGGAAGGAATTTGAGATGGGACTTTTGAGTTGATTTTTGATGATGCTGTTTATTTTTCTGATTTTCTGCACAAGTAGGAAGGGTTAGTTCAGCTCACATCGTTAAGGCATGGCTCAGAAGGTCACAACACCCTTAGTTACAAGACTTTTTAAGGAGTTATTGACTAATAAAATACTGCTACCAAGGATATTTATGGTTTTAACTCAATCTTTATTGTGTATAATGGACCTATGTTACAGTGTAAGCTTTCTTAGCTAATTATGTGATAACACACAAACTTAGGTACTGCATTCTAAACTCCTTGTTTACCTTTGTAACTACTTTATTTTTTAATTTCTTAAACTCTAAACTTTCCTTAGCTTCATGTGTCTCTGCTTTAAACTATAAATCCACATTCTCACTTCTTACACTTAAGTTTGGGAGCCTTTTCCAAGGTCTCAGAATAAATCCTGTGTTTAATTCTAAGCTTTGGCTCACAGGCCCCAAATCCTGAGAGTTCTCTGCATTTCAGATTCCAACACCTGAGCAGCAAAGTGGGCTCAGTGCTTCCCTTTGAATTGAGGTGGGAACAGCTGGGAAAAGGGGCTGGAGAAATCTCCTTTCCCTTTTTCCCTTCCAGAAATCTCCTTTCCCTTTTTCCCTTCCAGAAATGTCCTTTCCCTTTGCCCTTCCAGAAATCTCCTTTCCCTTTGCCCCTTCCAGAAATCTCCTTTCCCTTTTTCCCTTCCAGAAATCTCCTTTCCCTTTGCCCTTCCAGAAATGTCCTTTCCCTTTGCCCTTCCAGAAATCTCCTTTCCCTTTGCCTTTCCAGGAGCAGCCCCTGTGGCTCTGGAGAGCTCCTCAATGTCCAAGGCATTTCCCTGCAGTTATTTCCTGCCCAGTTCCAGCACTGCAATAAAATATTTCTGTTTTGTTGAACCTTTGGGGCCAATTTTCAGCAGTCCCCTCAGTGGGGAATGCACCTTCCACCAGATCCTAATTTGTGTGCACCACTGTGGGTTTGACTGGGAGAGCTCTGGGACAGCAAGGAAATGCCTTCCAAAATTCAAACACCATTTAAACAGCCAGTGTCCCACCCACGTCCCTTCACAGCTCAAAAAGCATCACACAGAATGACATTAATTCCATGTCTCATGTCCTTCATATCACTTCCCAAGCACAGATAGGATTCTGCAGACTTCTAAATTACTGCCTCAGATCAGGATTTTGAGGCCAAAATTAAACTGATTCCACAAGAAGCAGAAACATCAATTATTTACTTTCTCACTTTCTCTGTCAGTGTCCTCTTCTTCCCAGTTTTCTTGAGCAAACACTCTTTGTCTCATTTTGAAACAAGAATCAGTTTCACACCAAGCTTCTGCATGTAAAAATGTTTATTAAAATGGCCCAAGTATCACATGGGGACTGGGATGGAACAGATCCCACTTCTTTCCTTTCTTTCTACATCTCAAACTATCCAAAAAGAGAAATTCCTGTGAATTTCACACACCAATAGTTTGCTCACACTGAAATCTGCCCAGCTACAGAAATCTCCACTCTGCTCCAAACCCCAAATCCCTGCCACTCAGACACACAAATATTCCCAATATCCCATCACCCCACAAATCTCCTTTAACTCTTTTCTGCCTTCCCCCTCTCCCAACCAACTTTCCAAACTTCACATCATTTGCAGAAGATTCTGCCTTCTCCACAAGGTCCCAAACCCAAACAATTCCCCCCAAAATTACCTTCTCAGTGCTGTGATCTGCTCATCTGTGAGCCCCCCACTCTCCTCGTGGATGATGAAGAGTTTGTCCTTCAGCTCACTTGGTTTTACACGGAAACTTTTAAGAAAAATGTCTGGAGAAAAAGGATTCTGGGGTTACTTGGAAGGAAGTGCTCAAGGGAAGGGAAATCACTGAAGTATCTTACCTATACTTAGCAGAATTAAAAAAGAAAGAAAGAAAACCCCAAACAACCAGAATATAAAATATTTAGCAGCTGCTATCATAAGGCAAAATCTCAGTCTTCATATTTTCTTTAAATTTACAGAGCGGTCATCAAGGAAAAACAAATCTGAGGATGATTGTCTTGTCTCTTACTGATACCTGCTCCCTGTGTGGCAGGAATTTCTTTTTTTTCAACAATCCATTAGAGAACTTAATTTTAATTTATATTTTCTCCTACACTGGCCTTGAATTTAGTGTGGAGATCTCTCAGAACTCTCATTTTCCTCTGGTGTTCCACTCAAAATCTCCAGAATTTTGAACCTACTGGCATTTTGGAGCTTCATCTTTTTATTCATTAATCCAAGGACTGTGGTTTGCAGCACTTGCAGGAAGATTAATCAGAATTCTCAGGATCAAATTAACTTTTGATCTGAGTACTGTCCATTATAATAAGGATATGCCAAAACTCTCACTGATGAGGATAAGATTAAGAAAGGGATGTAGAACATCTCTGTGAAAAACGCTGTGAGAGGAACAGGATCAAAAGGAGGAATTGTGCTATTTGCAAAGCAAAAGAAAGACATTTCCTCAAAGAAACTGCAATAATTTAGTAGATAAAATGCTATTACAAGATCCTTTTATCTGCAACAGCACTTTGCCATCACTCTTCCTTTTAACCCTTCAAATTGTTAGTCAAGGGATGCAATAATTCTGAGTTATCTTCATTTACATGTCCCAATTAAAACTTTACACGCTCTCCAAAATACATTTTTTCTTATTCATATTCACCAAGATGAAATCATTAAAACTTCAGAATTGACTGCCCCAAATTCTTTACACATGTAACCATCTTAAAGCATCTCTAGGTTATAGAAATTTTTTGGAGAGGCATCTTTGTAGCAGAAATCAGAGTGCTCTTTGAAGAACAATTACTGCTGCTCCTTTAACATCTACCACTTCTCATCAAGGGAATGAGAGAGCTTTACAATATTTTGTTAGGAAGAGCAGGCCTGGGTGTTGAGCTGCTTCATTAGCTCTGGAAGGCTGTTCCAGGCCAGGCTTTGGGTGGAATCCCACCTGGAGCAGGAGAGCAAAGGGTTGTGCTCAGGAACAGGACGCTGAGCCCTCAGCCTGGGAGAGGCCAAGAATTCCTGCCTGGAGCTGCCCCAAAGGCTCCTGACCCCAACCCAGGCCCCTGCACAGGATCCTTCACCCCAGAGCAGCTCAGCACTGCAGGTCCTGCCTCCCAGCCTGCTCCGGGGGACTTTGCAGCCCATTAAATCGGAAAAGCCTTTGTGGTCAGAGCCTTAAATTGACTTCACAGGTGTTGAGGATGACTTTACACATCTGCCCCAAGACAGCAGCATCGCAGCTCTGTGGCACAGACAGGTTTGGATGAAAAAATCAGCTTGGGTGTTTATCTCTACAGCAAAGGGCACTTGGGAGCAGTGGAGCCTTGTTTTACAAAGAGAGAAGCACTGAATTAACAGAGGATTTCCACCCAACCTGGATCACTGCCTGTGAGTGGCAGAAAGCACAAACAGCAAGTGTAGGCAGGGCTCAGCCCAGGCTCTCAGAGAGGAGCTCACAGCCCCTGCTGATCCACTCACTGAAGTTGTGTGCAACTTTTCTGTCCAGCAGGATGTGCTGATTCACTGGAGGCTCGCTGCCCAGTGGCACTGCTGTGTCCTGGATCTGGAACTGCTCACACAGCCTGCACACGTCTATTTTCCTCTTGCACGGGTCACACGATCCCCAGACAGATTTTTGAATCTAAAAATACAGGAGGGACACAGGGTAAACAGAAAGGCAGGAGAACAGAGGCCCTTTGTTCCATGCAAGCACAGAGAGGGGCATCCAGGTCATTTTGTGGCCCAGCTGCATTCCTATAACTCCCCATGTCACATGCCCACAATATTTAGGTTTTTTCTCTTTAACAGCTGCCTGTCGCTATAGGACATGAAAGACCACAAGCGCACACCGCTGCTCTCGGGGTGAAGAAGAAAAAGGGGGAGTTTATTTTCTGACTCCAACATTTACAGTTTTCCAAAAGTGACAGTGGATTGGAGGGTGACAGTGCCACCTCTCCAATGACACTGGACAAACCAACAAATTTCTCTTTCTCCATAAAGGAATGCAAAACAATGAGTTATTTACAGAAAGTGTGTGAGGAAGTTGGCTGCAAGAATGCCAACATCAGAAGGCTTAGAAAATCTTAGAAAACCGGGGCGGCAGCTGCCCTCAGTTTCATCCCCACCTTGTCAAGAGGAACGAGATCCCAGTGAAAGGCCTTGGTTCTCTTGGCTGCTGCAGGGACACTGCAGGGCTGTGGCGGGGCAGGTGGGGCGGGTGGCACCTGAGCCCTGCCCAGGGCAGGTGGCAGAGCTGCTGCTGGGGCCGCCCGTCCCTCTGCGGGCTCTGCGGGCTCGCTCAGGCTGCTCCTCGCAGATCCCCCTCCAAAGGGGGCACTCTCCTCTCTCTGCTCGGGCAGAGGCAGCACAAATTCCTCATAGTCAGCTTCGGGGGAGCTGCGTCCCGCAGAGGATGGCAGGGCGGCAGCGCGGCCGGGCCGGCAGTGCCGCTCCAGCAGGGACAGCCACTCCCGCTGCAGCCGCCCGGCCGCCTCGGGGCTGCTGCTCTGCACGCTCAGGGGCACCCGCAGCCTGGAAGGGAAAAAAATCATCCAGAAACAGCAGCGAGAGTGAACAGCACCCTGCCCGGCACAGGGTAACCCGGGGGATTCTGGTGGCCTCGTTCCTCCAGGGCTGCTCTTTTACTCCGGGCCATCCTCTGCTGCCTGAGCTTGTGTGCAGCATCTCTGTGTAGGATTGCCAAGGCAACCCCCATGGCAGGGAGAAATGATGAGGAGGACTCCATGGATATCAGAAAACTAATTATTGACTTTATTATACTATATTATACTATTATTTTATAGTGTGTATATATATATATATATATGTGTGTGTGTGTATATATATATATGTGTGTGTGTATATATATATATGTGTGTGTGTGTATATATATGTGTGTGTATATATATGTATATATATAATACGTATACTATATTATACTATTATTCTATATTTATATTACACTACATCTAAACTGAATCTGCACAAGTACCCAACCAGATCTCGTGACTGTCTCCTGACCAACAGGACACAGCTGGCAGAGGTTGCTCAAAGAAAGAAAACCCCATCCCTTTGGGGGAAAAAAATCTCCACATTGCAGTCTACTTTGGCACAAACACAGCAGCAGCAATATATAACCTATATTATATTATATTATATTATATTATATTATATTATATTATATATTATTATATATAATAATATATATGTATTACCAAATATGAGATAAGAATTATGCTATATTATTCTATATTATATTACAATATATTACACTACATCTAAACTGAATCTGCACAAGCACTCAACCCAGCCAGATCTTGTGACAGTCTCCTGACCCATGGGACACAGCTGGCAGAGATTGCTCAAAGAAACCAAACCCCATCACTCTGGGTGAACAATCTCCACGTTGCATTCTACTTTGGCACAAACACAGGCACAGCAAATGAAATAAAAATTGTTTTTTTCTCTCTCTGAGGTTCCTCGTTGCGATCCCCATCAAACATCCTTGGGAAGCTGTGCCTTGCTTTTCTCAGTGGAGAGAAATGCAGCCCCAGCTGTGCTTCACCAGGTTATCAGCTGTACTCACAGGTAGTGCTGGTCCCTGGTGTGCAGGGAGAAGGAGCTGCAGGCGCTGTCCCTGCTGAGCCCCAGGCTCCCGGCTGCCAGGGCAATGGTGGCTGCAGGGCTCCTGTGCCCCAGGCTGTACAGGGTCAGCTCTCCTTCCCGCAGCTCTGCCAGGCACCTGGGGGACAAGGGATGGACACACAGCTCATTGGTGTCTTCTTTACACAGCCTGGCCCCTGTTAAAGCACCTTCCAATGCCAACAAATCTCCACGTCTTTACAGTCAAAAATATCAATAGCGGAGCATAAAATCTTTGAGATGTCCTTATCTGAGAGTTTCTTGTTGTCATCTGACACCTAAAGAAAGTGTGACATAAAATCTGAACAGCCTGCCATGCCCAGTGAGAGCTAGAATTAAACCTGACCATCAGTTCAGAATGACCCAAGTCCTGTTAATTTTTCAGTTAATTTTTCAGCCATGCTCTGTCCCTCCCTCTCCATTTGCTCCTCTTGTTTATTTGGGGTAGTGGATCTTTGGGACTCTGAGCTTTTAAAGGCATCCTCCTGGGGCTGAGCAGTGCATAAGGCTCCAGAGTTTCTGTGTCTTCCAGGTTTCACTCCACCAAGCTATAAACAAATCACCAAGTTTAGTTCCCCATCATCCAGCCCAATACCCCTCTCTTGGAAATCCTGTTACTGCATGGCAGCTCATCCTGGAACTTCTCATTCCCAGGAAGGAATGGGTTAAAATATTCTGCTCTTGGGGGCTTCCAGCAAAGTGACTCTGCCAAAATTTGGGGAAAAGCTCTTTAAATTATAATTGATCCTGGAAGAAATGGCCTGAGCATGCAGAGCTTCCATTCCAGCAGAGTCCTGTGCTTTGGCCTCTCCTCTGGAATTCTGCCCTGCTCTTTTTAACAAAGAGCTTGGGCTTTACTGTGGGTTTATTCTTATTTAACATTTTGCCTTCTCCTTTTTCTGGAGGGTTTTTGCCTTTCTTTATCATTCTGGCAGTTCTACAAAACTCTCCCTCCACTCTCTCTTCAAGGTGTGGCTGGTTGATTAAGGTGTTCTGTGAAGAATTTAAGTAAGTTTAGCTGCTCCAGAACAAATTAAACATAAAATAAAAATTGCATCAATTCCCATACAAGCAGTCAAAGTGATAAGAATTGTTTAATGGAGCTGGCAGTGCTATTGATCTCTCCTTTCTTCCAGCAGGGACTTATGGTTTAATCGGACCCCCAGGTGCTCCCACCATCACTTTGCCAGAAAAGAAAAATAAAGGAGGAAGAGAGAGGATTAATATCAAGAAGAAAACAACAAGGGGTTTGAAGATAAATAGAAATCAATTTTTGTTTGTTAACAAACCTGTTCAGTGTTGCAAGGTAACAAATCCTGGACACACTGGAGGATAGTGTTTACAACACACACAGTGGCAGCCTTTTAAAGCAATTAAAATAATTTTCTGTGAAGTGTGAAGTCTTTTGAGATAATTACCCTGTGCAGATAATTACAATGTGAATTTTTTTTCGTTAGCTAGACAGAATTTTTTTTCCTCTCTCTCCTTTGATGGTTTAAGAAATTTCCAGGTGTTTTAGGAGCTGTGTGAGGTTTGTTGGCAGAATGGGGAACAAACCATGGAAAACCACTGGGTTACTGAGAGTGGAGGGAAAAGTAATGAGAGATACAAAGTCCCAGCATCAAATTTGTTCTGAGCACCATCACCATTGGAGATTTGTGCTGCCAATGCTCCCAGCAGGCTCCAGATCACAGCTTTGGGGTTTTGGGTACCACTCCTGCCCTGACAGCTCATTGCAGTGCTTCCATCTCATGCAGAATGGGCATCTACCTTTACACTTCAAAAAAACCCAAACAACTAAATAATAAAGTTATTATCAGCACATTCAAATCGAAATGCATCTATCAGAAGTTTTAAGGAAATCCAGAGTTCATACTTCACCCATTCAGTGGAGGTTAAGGTGTTCTGCTGCAAATCCAGCAGCCCCTCATGGATCACATCACATTCTGCAGCTCTCCCAGGCCAGGACTCCACTGCTCTCTTGTAAGAATTGCTCTGGGTAACTCTGCTCAGCAGGTAGATTATCTAGATAATAAGTGGCAGCAGAGAAACAAATATTTTCCACACTAATTCCCCTGAATAAGACACCAATATTTGGATTCTACAAGTACAAAGCCACAGTCAAATGGGTCAAATAAATCAACATAAAATAACCCAGGTCTTTCTATGATGCAAAACTCCTTAACTGCAATTTGGTTTTATGCCCACAGTTCTAAACCTGTCAGTGTAAGGAGAATATAATTTTACTCTGAAGGGGTTACTGTAAACCAGAACTTTTTAATTCATATACAAAGCAGTCCAGGACAAAGTTTCTGTTCAGCTCAGTTCAAGCCCAAGCAGCACTCGACTGATTCAGCTGAAAATCTCAGACAATGCTCAAAGATGAACCACTGGGTCTTTTCTCAGCATGAGGACAATCCTCATTCATCCTCAAAATCGGGCATTTTATGAAATACCTTATACAGAGAACAAAAAGTGCTTGGAGATCTCCAATGAGGACTGGGCTGAGCACATCCCCAGCTCTGTTTGCCTGTTTTAACACTCCAGAGCAGTTCCACCCCTGCTGTGGCTGCAGAGCTGCCCCCAGTGTCCCACCCCACCCGGGGCTGGCTCTGCAGCTCCTCTGAGCTGAGCCAGCGCCCCGGGGCCAGGCTGCCCCCTGAGCCCACCCTGCCTCTGCCCCCTGGCCCTGCAGAACAAACCCACCCCTCCTGCCCTGCCTGGAGCGCTCAGCGACCCCCAGGGCAGGGAGGAACGGTGAGGAGCACTCAACTGGTGGCAGAAGGCTGATTAATTACTTCATTACACTACAGTATTCTCTATTTTCTTACACCACATCCAAATTGAATCTGAACAAGCACTCAACTCCTCTGAACAGAATCTTGTGACTGTCTGCTGACCCACAGTGTGCACACATGCTTGGCCCTGACAGACCAAGGAAATAAAACCCCAATAAAACCCCATCACTCTGGGTAAACAATCTCCATATTGCACTCTACTTTGGCACAACACAGGTGCAGCAATATATACCAAATATTATATATATATATATATAACCAAATATGAGATAAGAATTATTTTTTCTTTCTAGAAAAGAAATATAATATATATAATGTACGTATTATTAAAATATATAATATATATTATCTTATATTATTATAATGTATATAATCTATAATCTATTATATATAATAGATTATATGTTCTATATAATATATTATATATTATATTTTATATATTATATTTTATATGTTATATATTATATATTGTATGTGGTATATTATATATTGTATATTGAATAATATATATATTTCCAAATATGAGATAAGAATTGTTTTTTCTTTCTAGAAAAGAAATATAATATATATAATATACATATTATTATTATTATATATATTATATATTGTAAAAATATTATTATATGTATTATATATTATGATAATATATTCTATTTTATTTTTATATATTATTACAATATGTATTATATTATATATTTATAAATATAAATATAAATATATAAATATAAATATATAAATATATCATATAAATATATCATATAAATATATAATATAAATATATCATATAAATATATAATATAAATATATATATATTCTCTGTGAAGGGAATTGCAGCCCCAGCTGCCTGCACAGTGCCTGGCCCCTGCTGGGTGCCCCTGCCCCAGCTGGGATTGCAGCAGTGCTGTCCCAAACCCACCTTCCTCTTGTCCTCCAGAGACACAGCCTCCAGCTCGTAGTGCTGCCTGCCATGGAACAGGATGCTGAAACGCCTCCTCTCCGAGTCCTCGCAGCCTCTGACTTGGGAGAAAGGGAACTGCTTCCTGATAGTGCCTTTCTCGATGTTAAAAATGGTCCTGCTGCTGAAATCGAGCTGCAAGAGGAGATTCTGCATCACTCGAGGACACCTTTGTTGAAAGGCAAAGGCAGAATGCCAGTATTGCCACGTTATGGTGTTTAGATAAAAGAGCAGAATAAATAGAATTGAAAAATTACATTCCGCCACCAAGAATGTAATATTTGTTTTAGTGACAAAATGCCCAACATTTGTTTTAGTGACAAAAACCCCCAGATATTCCTTGTAAGCTGTGTTTCCACACATCTCTTTTGATGAATATGCATCAATTTATCGCTCTGGAATATTACTTCTTTTTAAATTCTCCATATCTCAAACGCCAGTGCACAAACTTCCCCTTCAGCACAAACTAACAGCAAAACCACTCACCCAGTTCCTCACTCCTTCAGGCTCTGAAAAGCAGTTCTAAGTTAAAAGTTAAAACTTGTACAGACCACACCACCAAATGCCCACACTGTGGCCTTTCCCTCTGTCCTGTTTATAGCAGGAAACGTCCAAAGCAGAACTTTTCTCAAGATTATCTCTGACTTTTCAAGGCTGCTGGTAATTAGAGAACTGAAATTAAGCTAATCCAGATTCCCAGACTGATAACTTCCACATCTACAACATGTCTCTCCATTTTTCCACTTTATGTCTAAAGAAATAAGTTTTCATTACAAAAAAAGGGTGGATAATGCTGGAAAAATTACATTTTGTACAATTAAGATGTAGAAAATAAAAACCACCCTGTAGCATGCATGATTTGGACTTGTTCATTATCAAATGCTGTCCAAACTACAAGAAGTTTTATTGAAATCCAGGAAAAAAACCATGAAACCTTAGTCCCTGACTTCATGAAAGCAGGAAATCACCATCAGGTGTTGTTATTATCAGAAGCTGGCTTTGTTGGATTTTTAGACACTGCACCAAAGGTGAGAATTGTTAGGGTTACCTGCAGAATCCGTTTCTGCCACCGGTAGTGTTTGTATTTGTAGATAATGAAGTTAAATTGGGACCCAGTTAACAAATCCTGGGGATCCTGGAAAACAGAACAGAAATCAGCAACACATCCCATGCTGGGATAACCTTGGGACACCCAAATCCTGCTGCGCTCAGGTGAAATCTCTCTCTGTGAGCAGAAACAACCCTGGAGGATTCCATGTGGAGGCAGATGGAAAAACCCTCCTGACTTTTGTTAATCACCTTAATGAAGGTGGAGAGGGACATTGTTCCCAAGGGCAGGGACAGGACAAGGGGGAATGGCTTCACACTGACAAAGAGTGAGTTTGGATTGAATTTGAGGGAGGAATTCTTTACTGTGAGGGTGATGAGGCCCCGGAGGAGAGAAGCCTTGCAGTGCCTGGGGGAGCTGCAGGAAAGATGGAGAGAGAGGATTTACAGGGGATGGCACACAGGGAATGGCTTCACACTGAAATTGAGGAGGGTTAGGTGGGATACTGGGGAGGGATTCCTCCCTGGGAGGGTGGGCACAGGTTACCCAGAGCAGCCCTGGATCCCTGGAAATGTTCCAGGTCAGGCTGGCCAGGGCTTGGAGCACCTGGGACAGTGGGAGGTGCAGGGAGGTGGAACAGGACGAGCTTTAAGGTCCCTTCCAACCCAACCCAGTCTGAGATTCTGCAGTTCCAGGATTCTGCCCCATATTTATTAATGCAGGACTCGTTGCTACCCTTGGAATAACAACCCTTGTATGGGTTTGAGTGCCCCAATGCAGGCAATGCCAGCATTTCCATGGAGCAGCCATCACACAGGGCACAGGCAGCACAGCCAGCTGTACCTGCCCTGCTGGGTTGGGAACTGGGCTCTTTGTGGCTCCCAAACCAGGAGTGTATCCTTGAGAGCAACCCAGACACCCTCCTCACTCAGCAGGGCTCTCCAGAACATCTGAACATATCACCGAGCACATCAAAGGAGCAGCCTTACCTTTTCAGCATACACCTCCTTCTGTGCCAAATGCAGAGCTCCTTCAATGCTCACTTCTTTATTTTTCACCATGTTCATGATTTTGAGGATTTTTTCCTGGCTTAACTAGAAAAAAGAATAAAGTCAATCAAATGTTTTTAGAGACTGGTTTTTCATCAGGCTGTGGAGGATACAGAGTGCTCGTGACACAGTCACAGTACCTGCCATAAAATTACCATTTCACTCATATTCTATATTCTACTGACAAGCTGACCAGCAAATATAATCTCCCTTTGAAACCTGGTCAAAGTCCACAAGATATCAAATATACAGGGGCTTTTACAACTTTAGGAGATGTGGTGGTAATATCTGGAGATAGAACTGCCAGGGGGAAACCCTTTTGAGTTAGAAACCCTGGCAAGAAGTGAAAACATCAATTTTGCATGGCAGTCTGTCTCATCTTGAGTGCAAAGCCCTGCACACAGGACAACATGAAAGAAAAACCAGGAGCATTTGAAATGCTCAGGGTGAAGAGGGGGCAAACTGCTGTTGGTACAGGGAGGTGCAGCTGCCACGGGGACTCAGTGAAGCACATGAAAAGCCAGAGTTCCACTTCCCCTTTTTCTCTCCCCAAAACAGGAGCTTGAGCTGCCAATGAACCCACACAGGAATTTGTGTCACTCCTGAGTGCAGCAAGGCAGTGCCAGGGGTTTGGGGGGAAAAACCAACCCTGCTTTGAGCCAGACCCTATGTGGCAGCCACTCCTCAGCAGAGATGGGAGCTTGGAGGAGCCTGGAGGTTTTACCAGCACAGCTCAGGAACTTGGACATTTTTTATCCAGACTTCAAGATCCGAGCGGTTCCCTGTGCCCTGAGAATGGCTTCACCACCTGGAGAGATTCCAGGGCTTTCCAAAGGTTCTTCCCAAGCTCTCCAGGTGGACACCCAGGTGCAGAGCCCAGCACAGGCTGTGCAGGAGCAAAGGAAGGGGCCAGGAGGGTTAGGAAGGCACGGGGAAGGAGGCAGGAGGGTTGGGAAGGGGTCAGGAAGGTTGAGAGGGAGGTAAAATTCCTCTATTACAAAGCAGGCACATTAAGGAAATACATGAGATTATGTTAATAATGCCCTCACTTACCTGCCAGGCTACAGCAGCCTGTTTAAAACAGATTAAATTGTCATCACCCTCCCCAAATTCAGCAGAGCCACACAAGTGCTTTGAAAGAATTCACAATTGAAGGAAGAGCGTGGGGCTCCAGACATTCTCTGGAAGGGGAGGTGAGGTTTTTATCTTTTTGGCCTGGTATAAAATGTGTTTGGTGGGGAGAGAGGAGATTTCTGCCCTGCTCTGGGGCAGCTGCCAGCGCTGCCCTGCCATGGCCCCTCCCAGGCCTTCCTGCCTCTCCCATTTACCCAAAAGGACCCACTAGAGGGTGTGCATGCAGAAATATCACTGGGATAATCCCAGATCTGCCAAGACCCCGTGAAGGAAAGGATGTGGTTAAAGCCACATCATCCAAGTGGTTCTTGATCAGGGCAGAGGAGGGAAGCACCCAGCACGTGGGGCACTGCTCAGGGGTCAAACACCAAATGTGCCCCTCTGGCTGCTCTCTCTGACCCTCACCCTGCAATTCACTGCCCAGAGGGACACAGGATGGCTCTGGCTCCTGTGCACCCCCTGAGCTCTCTGGGCTTCTCCAGGGGACAATCCCACCCTGCAGACCTGCACTGCCCCTTGAGCCCTTCCCTGCCCCGTCTGCAGAGCGATGGGAGCCACTTGTGGCTTTTTGTTCTTATTCCCCTTGTTCCACCCTGCCTGGATCCCGCTGCAGAAATGCTCCTGGGATGTGTGCCCTGGACATGTGGCCCCAGCCCGGCAGGAGTGTCACTCACTGTGGTGTGACAGGGTCACACACCATCCCAGGGGCAGCTCACAGCTCACCCAGCCCAGCTCTGCCACCTCCTGAGACAACAAAGCCCAGCCATGCAGAAATCCTGCTCCCTGCACCAGACAGGGAGGTTTCCATTCAGCTCCAGTCAAGCTTTTCATTGTTGAGCATTCCTCACTCTCGTCCTGATGAAACATTGAACATCCTCAGCTGCTCCCTGGCTGTGCAGGATGCAGGGAAGGGGCTGGCAGGGCTTGTTCCAAATCCTCTGCCCTCCACAGCAGCTTCTGGCACTTTGCCCTCCAAGCAAAAGGAGCAGGGCTGATTGCTGCTTTACAGAGAATTCATTAATTTTGAGACATAAATCTGACTGAATTTCACCCAGCCTGCACGCTGAATGTGCCATTTAAGTGATTTTCAAGACAACAGACACAATCTGGATTGCCTTAAACTTCCAGCTTGGTGTTATCCACTTCCCTCTCCTAATTTATTCACTTTCACCAGGTTTGAACTCGGCCCAAAATGTTCTGAGTGCTGCCAAGCATTTCCAGGGCAGTGGTTTTCTCCTAGGACTGGGGTATCTCCAGTTTCAATTTCCATGAAATCTCAAACCAGGTGACTGATGTGGCATTTTTATGTGGCAATACCACCTCCTGTAGCCTAGAGACAGACTGATATTATTTGTCAAACAGAGCTGCTATTCATCAAATAAATTATCCATCTGTAATAATGTTTTGCATTATTTTTTGCAGATCCACATCTGGCTGAATAGTATCTGTCAACATTTATTCAAAGAAGAAGGGATTCATCAAGCAGGAGCTTGATTTCCTTGAAAACATTGGAAATTCTGCCACTTCTGGGAGGAGCTGGAGGAGCCCAAAGATATTTTATTGTAATTTATTCCTCACTGGTATAAAGGTATGGAGTGATTGATTGCAACAACATCAAATTCTCCAAGAACAGTTCTCAAAACCATGAAGATATAAACTGGTGCCCAGTGATGTGTCCATAGCACAATACCAACAATTTTAACAATTTTCAATATTGAAAATATCACCATACTGAGGAATCTCAAAGCCTTGACATTTCTTAAAACTCCCTCTGAAAAAATGACACTTTCTAGGTCTCACCCTTCAGATTTTCCCTCAATCACCAAGGAGCCTCCTGCTCCATCAGCCCTGAGAACTCACCAGGAAATGACACTTGTGAAGTAATTTCACTGTGAAAATTCAGGATAAATTGAGTGCTTGCACAGGAGACTGGTGTAGCTTTGTGCTATTTGATCACTGTTTCATCAGTGATCTGCTGAAGGACTGGACATTATTTTTATTAAATTTGCAGATTTTGATGGGCAGCCGGAAAGAACTGCGAGGGGGATTGGAATTCCAAACAGCCTTGACAAATGAGAGCAGCAATAATCTATAATTCAGCAAGCAGAGGGAAGGGAAAAAAAAAATAAAATCTGGATGTTCAGCAGGAGCTGCCAGCTTCACAAGCACTGGCTGAAGAACACATTTTTGGCAGAAAAAGCCCAGAAGTTTGAGCAGCTTGCAAAGTGACAGCAGCTCCCAGCATGGTGCTGCTGCAATAAAAGGGAATTTCCCTCGGGGAGGTTCCAGACAGCAGCAAAACACTGAAATAAGAGTGCTGAGCACTGACAGGGGATCCTGCTGGAACAGGGGGGGAGATTTCCATGCCTCCAGAACAGAGCTGGAGGAGTCCAGCTCAGGATAATGAGAGTAAGCAGAGCTCTGGAAAAATGGGATTTCCAAGGGAAGGGTTGGGGTTTCACAGCCTGGGGCAGGCACAGGGTCACAAAGAGATGCTGCCAAAAGGGAAGGAGCAGGAGGCTCCCTCTGTGGTGGGGTAAGGAGAAATAGGAGAGAAAATTACAGCAAAAGAGAGAAATTACATTACAGCAAAAGAGAGAAACTACAGCAAAAGAGAGAAATTACATTACAGCAAAAGAGAGACATTACAGCAAAAGAGAGACATTACAGCAGAAGAGGTTCTGCTGAGATGTTTGGAAAATATAAGGATAACACTGAGCCATCCAAGGAAAATGATGGAATCTCCCACCACTACACATCCTTAAGAAGAATTAAACAAATGAAACAATTAAATAAATTCTTCTTAAGAAGAATTAAACTTTGGCCCTTGTCTAACCTGGTTTTGCACTTTAATTCAGTGCAAGCCTGCAAAGGACTGAAGGTTCCACCTCTGCTTTCCCAGGGGGAAGGGGCAGGCAGAGATTTAAAAATGTTGAAGAACTCCAACCAGCCCGTGAGCTTCCATTTCCAAGGCAGAGATATTTCCTGGGAATCTCCTTCAGGCACCATTGCTGCTTTATCAGAACCAGCCTCAGCACCACCACACTCTGTGGCCTGGATATTTTAAATTAGACTTGATTTCAAAGCAATCCTTCAGTGTGAACTTACCCAGCAGTTTCTTGGTGTAGTGAGGGACAGTTTAAATGCTCTGATACAAACTGGACTGAAATGGAATAAAGGAGGTGGCTCATACAAGAGCATTTCAGTTTGCTACTAAAATAATAACATTCTGTGCCTTTAGTGATTGTAATTAAAATAATCCACAGTGATAAGAAGTATCAAGGATTATCATATTTGCTTTTTAACGTGAGGGTCAGATTAATTTTGTGACGAAACAAAGATTGCTGGGCTACTTAACAGCCACATCTAATTTTTTTGGAGAAAAACGTGCATCCCTCTGCTCACAATCTCACCTTGGGCCCCTCATGTCTCGTAAAAGAAAGATTCACTCTGGGCTGCTGAAATTGCTAAATGCTGAACACGAGATTTCACCCTGCTGGAGGTTTATTAAATCACATTAACACCTGCTAAGCAAGAGGAGTGAGGGTGACAGAGAGAAAGCAGCACTGATTTCATGCACGTTTCACTGAGGATCCAGGGGCGCCACGAGTTCCCTGGTAATTACCTGGAACATTTAATGAACAAACCCTTCATTATGTTCTAATCAAAACACGGACTAAGAGTTTGCAAAGAAACCAAAAAGCAAAAACAAAACCAAAAAAACCCAAAGAGCATCCATCTGCTGATGTATAATTTCTGACCTGGCTTTTCCTGGGGTGTTGATAAATCATCCTGGCAAAATATTGAGGTGAATTTCTCCTCGTCCATCTCCTCCTGAAGTCTGACAGATTCAGCAGGATGTGATCCTTGTCTCTAGAAATGGTTTTGTTCTGGTCTCAATACTTTAAAAATACACATTAATAATTTAGAAATACACTATTTTTTCAAATGGGCAGATTCCTCAGGATCAGCTACCTGGACATCTATTTAAGCTGGGTGCTAAAGTCAGAAAATAATTTCTGTTCAAAAAAAGGCTTGGGGATATTCATTGTGCTCCTGGAAGTATGAATATTGAGAATATTCATTCTGCCATTTCCTGGAGGAGCTGAAGGAAAAAATCAAATAAATATATAAATAATATTAAAATAATAAAATACAATAAAAGATCCCAAAGAACAGTATTTTATTGTATTTTATTTCTTACTGGTATATGAAAATATATTTTATTGTAATTTATTTCTTACTGGTATAAAGGTGTGGAGAGATTGATGGTAACAACATCAAAACCTCAAAGGAATTTTGGCAATATTGAGAATGGGACAAGGAGCTCCAAATGGCTCAGGAGCAAGAAATTTAACTTTTTTTGGATACTGAGGGGGACACACCTCAGGATGTGCTTCAGCCCTGTCCCTCAGGCCACCAGAGCTGCTGGGTGCACATTCATGAATACACAGATCAGAAAATATGGAAAATATTTAAATATAATTGATCCCTTGGTAAGTACAGAGTGAAAATCCACTTCCAGCTACCTTAGAAAAGTCCATGGAAATTAAAAAAAAAAAGATAGAGGGAAAAAAATCAATCATCTAAGAGAGGTGGCCTTTAAGAAAAAGCCTAATGAAAATTGTAGGGGAAATCCATGGGGATAAAGTACTTTAGAGCAGTTGATTAAAGTGAAGCAGGGTGGAAAAGCAAGAGGGTCTGGCCTTGCACCGTGATCTGAGCAGCTCTCAGATGAGAAGCCTCAGGAAGACATGAACTCCTCAAAGGAGCTCACAAGAAGTTTAAATCTCGCTTTTCTCAGGCACCGTTTGTCTTTGTGGGTATTTTGGTGCTCCTACAGCTGAGCCCTGTGCATGAGCTTTCCTGGGGGTGACAGTCGGTGACAAGTGGCACCACCTGGCCGTGGTTTCCTGTTTGCTCTCGCTCAGCCGAGCCGTCTCTGGCAGCAAACATTTGATGATTTCCACAGCCCCTGAACCCCCAGCAGTGCAAGAGGGAAGGTGAGAGGTTGCTGAGCTGTGCCAAGGCAGCAGGGAGAGGGGAAACCCTGCCAGGGCTGGGACTGTGCCCTCCCAGCCCCTCTGGCACCAAAGCACCTCAGCATCTCCTGCAGCAGGGCCAGGTGGGAGCTGGAGGAGAGGCTGATACAGCCCACAGAGCAGCCCATCACACCAAAACCTGCTGCAGTTCCATGGCACTTCAGGTGCAGCAATGAATGTGTGGAAAGTTCAAGAATTCAGTGTTAGGATCACTGAGGTGACCCCAGTTCAAGAATTCAGTGTTTGGATCACCCATCCCTGCCCCTGCCCTTCTGATCTTTCTCCTCTGCCTCTGCTTGGAGGAGAAGAACTTTGAAAATGTGCAAGGGCAGCCCCTGCCCTTTTCCCCTGTGACAAACCACAAAGCCAGAGATGGGTTTTGTTTTCCTCCTCGTCTGTGGGATTGCTCTGGGGTTTGCCAGAGCCTGGCCTGGCAAATCTCTCACGCTTGGGGAACGAGGGGAGCCAAGCAAGGACGGCTGGATCCTCCCCAGCCCTCACCCCTGGCAGCCAGGAGAGCTCAGAGCCTGCACACAGCACAGCCCTTCTTTTCTCTCACTGCTCTTTCCCTGATTCTTCTTTTCCCTGATTCTTCTTTTCCTTGATTGCTTTTTTTCCCTGATTGCTCTTTTCCCTGATTCTTCTTTTCCCCGATTCCTCTTTTTCCTGACTGCTCTTTTTCCTGATTTTTCTTTTTCCTGACTGCTTTTTTCCTTAATTCCTCTTTTCCCCGATTCCTCTTTTTCCTGACTGCTCTTTTTCCTGATTTTTCTTTTTCCTGACTGCTCTTTTCCTTAATTCCTCTTTTCCCTGATTGCTCTTTTTCCTTGATTCCTCTTTTCCCTGATTCCTCTTTTCCCCAATTCCTCTTTTCCCTGATTCCTCTTTTCCCCGATTCCTCTTTTTCCTGACTACTCTTTTCCCTGATTTTTCTTTTCCCTGATTCCTCTTTTCCCTCTGCCAATCCCATCATCTCTCCCAGACACAGAGGATCTTCCCTCAATTCCCCAGGTACTCCCAAATTTTGAAACAAGCAGAATGCTCCAAGTCTCTGTGTGTGGCAGGCACTCAGACAAACCCACGGTGCTGCAAGCTGATGTATATTCAATCCTGGCATATCAATCACCTCAGATTCCAGTGGGATTATCAAAAGACTGCTTTTGCCTGTAATATAAAGCACTTTTTTTCTCCCCTCCAATTACCTTATGGAAATTTTTAGCACAGATAATATAAAGTGTTAATAAATCCTCTCTAGCATGGCAGGAGAAAGACTGATTTCCTCTCCTTGTATCAGGAAAACTTTGCACATTTCAACTTTCTCAAGAATAAAGCACAGAAAAATGTTGTCTCCTGCACACCTTCTGCAAACACTCTGTGATAGATTAGAGCAGGCTGAGCTCACATCACATAATAGCCCATTACACCAAAACCTGCTGCAAATGCCCTGCCAATAAAGCACCAAGTCCTCCCCAGTTTCTGATAAACCATCTCAGCTACACACAACAAGCAGCACTTCCACACCAGCCATAACACTTTGTGCTTTACCTGTGAAAAAGTGTCTGCTGTTCTTGTATTATCCATGTCTGGGGAAACTCTATTTGTTTCATCAGTATCCTACAGGGTGCCAAAGAGCAGCTTATTCATGAATCACACCTGCTTCTGCACAGCATGCTGCTCCTCTCTCTCTCTGCCTCTCTCTCTTATGAAATCTTGCAGCCAATGGCTTTTATTAAGTGTTACTTCCTTTTATGCTGAGAACTGAAAGAAACAATAATGATGCTTGGCTTCCTCATGGCAGCTCTGTGGAAAGACCAAAAAAATGTAGAAGTTGTTTGTTTGCTTTTCCTAAACTGATGTTTATGTTCCAGTGCCTTCCTGAAATCACTGAGCTAAATACTGAAATGACGATTTATTACTATTTATTATGATTGATTGCACTGCATCTGTCTGAACACACAACACATGTCAGTTCCCACATAAATTCCATGTAAATGTAAGGAAGTTTGCCTGAGGAGCTCCAAACACAATGCTGAACGTTCCCAGCAGTGTTTTTATGCACAGCAGCAATTTTAACACATCTCCAAACCCCAGCATGGGGAGCTGCATACTGGGGGGAAGCACCTGCAGATTAATGCACAAGATTCCTCCAAAGATAAACAGCATTTTAAATACTGTTTATCTTTAGAGGAATCTTGTGCATTAAGAGGAATCTTGTGCATCTTTAGAGGAATCTTGTGCATTTGAATGCTCTTTGCTCTCTGTACTGGTGGAGAGAATCGTGATTAGGGAGGGAATTGCCAGCGAAGCATTCCTGAAATCAAACCCCAGCCTTGACATAAACACTTCAGCAGCTGCAGGGGAAACACACCTTGGTTTGCCCACCTTCCTGTGGTGGCTCCTGCAACATCACAAACCTGGGTCAGAACCAATGGGGACACTGAAAGTTCTGAGCAGACACAGCTGGAAGGTGGAACTTTTCACATTTTGAAAGTTCTTCTCCCCCAAGCAGAGGCAGAGGAGAAAATCAGAAGCTCTGAAGTGTCAATGCAAAGCAGAGTTTTTAAGAAGCAACAGGAATTGAAAACGTTAGGGGCTGGTGACCGGGTGTCCTTCCTCTGCTGCTCTAAAAGCAGCTTTATAACAGAAACAAGAGAGGAAGCTGAGGGGCCAGGGCAGAGCAGGTGCCTCTGAGCCCAGGGTGGGCTCTGGCTCACACTACAAACCCCATCCATCAGTGCCTGAGCTCTGCAGCAAGAAATGGGAGAGAAAGGATTGGGAATGAACTCTCCCAGATCACTTGAGGCACTGGAAATTAAATGGAAGGTCAATACCTGCTGATATAAGCAGGGTTTAATCGTTTGAACTGATTTAAAGTAAGTCTTGGATGGAGTGTTAGCCTAACACAGCCAATAATGTAACAGGGCCTGACTAAATCCAGGTCTTCTAAGGAAATATTTAATAAAAGATTGTCTTTCAACACCCTCAATTCTGAGTGCTCTATGTCCAGAGTGGCAGATGGAAATTTTTCACTAAACTAGAAAAAGGATTCATGGGAAACACATTTCTTTGACAGCTATCTGAAGCCATTTGGTTAAAATAAAATAGCAACTAATTCACTCAAAATCACATTTCTAGCACTGGCCTGCTCCCCCTTAGAATCCTCAGCCCTTGAGGAACAACGATTTTCTTTTGAAATTAAGGAATCCCAAGGAACTTCTCTTTCTAACATGATTGCAGCAGCACAGAACATTTAAGGGTGGGGGAATGACAGGATTCTCTCACCAAAGGTTCTGCAGGGATGAGAGAGGCTGGGAGCAAGCACTTAATCAGAACAGCTCAATTGCCACTCTTGGAGCAAACATCTTCAATTAATCTGAAGCCCTTAATTACACCTCCCTTGAATAAAGGCTCTGGTGTAATTTCCCTTTCTCTGCTCTCAGTGAATGGATTCCAGCAACTGCCAGAATCAGGAGCTGCAGCAAACACAGGAAAATTCCCTGCAGGAACAAACCACCCTGCAGAGGGGATGGAAATGATGGGGAAAGGCTGGGAACCAACCTGCAAGAACAAGAACTCTTTGTGCCTGGTCTGAACAATGCACCAGGTGAATGTTTTCCACCAGCAGTGCAAGTTTTACTGTAGAAAAACATCAACCCTGTTCAGCCTGGCCTGGGACACTTCCCACAGCTGCTCTGGTGCCCTGTGCCAGGGCCTGCCCACCCTCACAGAGGGGAATTTTTTCCTAATACCCAACCTAAACCTGTTCTGTGTCCATTTGAAGCCATTCCCTGGGTGCTGTCCCTCCATCCCTTGGAAATCCTCCCTCCCCATCTTTGCTCTTGGCTCCTCCAGGCCCTGCAAGGCCGCACTGGGCCCACCCCAGAGCTTCTCCAGGCCGAAGAATCCCAATTCTCTCCTTAAACCTCATGGTTTTTAGGTGAAAAAGAATGGATTCTCTCAGATTTACTCCCAGAGGTTCTGAACACCTTTTCCCAAATTTCCTTCCAGCCACAAGCCGTGAGCACCCACTCCAACCTCCTGGTCTCTGTTTTCTCACAGTGACTTCACAGGCCAGAAACCAAATTCCCTGCCTGCTCCCTGAAATTCTAAACCCCAAAGAGTTTTCCAATATCAGATAACCCCTTGTGGACTCATTGTTTTGTGCTTTTTGTGGAAGGTAAAGAAAAAACCTCCTAAATCTATGACCAGTATGTGTTCAGTCAACCTAAATATGTAATATTTATTTTAATTATTTTAAATTATTTAAAAATTAAAATTATTAATTATTAAATTAAAATTATTTATTTTAATTATTTTTATTTAATTATTTTAATAGGCAAAACTCTCTTTTTCATTTCATTAAAGAATTTTCCTAAACCTTGTAACACCTAAGAAAAGAACACCATGAAATAAGTTATTTCAGGTTAAAAAAATGAGAGCTGAATTAAACTATTCTTTAAATAAATACACAAATACAGCATGAACTTCATAAACACATTTTTGCCTCTCATTCAAGCATGAATGTTCCAGCAGGGCTGGAATGCTCTCACAAGGAATTTCAGAGTTGAAAAACAAAGCCTTTCCCTGCAAACTCGCTTCACCTGAAAATTGCTGCCTACACCTGTTTTATAAAAGGGCCCTTTCTTTTTTTTTTTCTTTTTTTCCCTATGGAAATGGTGCTGAAACAGAGAAGTGAGAGCTCCTTGTGACTTTATGGGGGTTTGACCTCAGCATTCCTCTTCATTTCCCACAATGGAGATTCCAGCAAGACCTGAACAAAATCCAGCCTGACCCCTTAGACAGAAACCCTGGCCCAGGAGGTTTTGCTTTTTCTGTTCCCTCAGTGCTGATCTAGCACAGAAATTGATGGTATTGCAAATTCCAGCAATTTCCATTTGGCCTAATTTTGATTCTGGTTTTAAGCAAGGAAAATATTGATGCACAACAGTTTGTGCTGCACTGAACTGGGAGATGCATTAAATGCAAGGGGGGAAAAGAGGGGGGAGTATGAGAACAGAAGATGAGTAATTTAAAATAAAACTTCTGTGAAACTAAATTCAGGTCGAGGGTGACATCTAGTGATGCTCAGCAAAATTCTGCCCATTTTTGCAGCACCCTCACTCATGAAGAAAATTTAAACTTTTTCTGTTTCACCAGATACACCATAAAAGAAATATTTTCCCAAAAAATGTGAGTTTTAATTTTTTGGGTAATATGAGTTAATTTTTTAATTAATTCTGTATTCTGAATGCATAATGGGAGCATCCATAAAAGGAAAAGAAATAAAAGTAGGAACTTGGAGGTAGAGAAAATTCATCTGCTCATTACAATGAAGAAATTGGTACATGAGGTCTGATGGATGGGAGTGTCATTTTTTGGCTTCTTTTCTTATTTTTCACTTATTTGTAAAATACATCTGCAAAGCACAGTGGCAGCTTGACACATAAATTAAGCAAATCAGTAATTAGCAATGGAGCATTTAGCAATTCCCTTGATTGATAATACACAAACGAGTCAGCTGCTGAATTTGGAACAACAAAAATGTTCTCAGCAGCTTTCTGCCTTTGACAGTGGTTCATGGTCAGCATCAAGGGAAAGGACAGCCCACACATTGCCAAAAATAACAATTCTTCATCTCCCTGAGCAATTCCCTTTGGGCTCCTCACTGTGAGCAGCAAACAGCAATAAAGGAAATCATGGGATCACAGAATCTCTGGGTTGAAAAAGAAATTTAAAGCTCATCTCATTCCATCTCCTGCCATGGGACACCTTCCACTATCCCAGGTTGCTCCAAGCCCTGTCCAGTCCGGCCTTGAAGGATTCCAGGAAAAGCCAAAGCACCAATTCATCATTTAATTAATTTCCAGCTGCTTCAAACTCGTTTCATGCAGAAGTCTCACCCTCTGCACCTCCCTGGTGGTGTCACCTTGTTCACTCTGATGCTGCACCCCAAAGTCAAGAAGTCAAACCCACAATGTCCCAGTGCCCAGGGGAAGTGGCAGCTCCACAGATCTGCTCCCCTGCGACACAAGGTGGCACCAGAAACTGCCTGAATTCCAGGCTGCTCGAAAGTGGATCAGAAAGCAACAGCTTCCAAGGGTTTGTGAGTTTAAATGAGAGCCAGAAAACCAGGGGCTCCCAGTGGCTGTGGCCAGGGAATGGCTCCGGGAATGCTGGCACTGCTCAAAGGGGGAAATCCATGGAAATCAGCCTCGCCTTTGGCACAGGGGCTGGGGCAGCATCCCCAGGGCACAGGCCTGGGCAGCAGCAGCCACAGAACTGGAAAGGGCTGAACTGAGCCCAGGCCCAGCAGGAATTCACCCCTATCCTCTGTTTTACAATGTAGGGAGCACTCAGCTCTGCCCTCTCCTGTGTGTTTGCTCTTAGGAAACCTTGGCCACCAATGTGTGCCAGCCACAGGTTGTCACTGAGAGCTTTCGGAAATTCCAGCCTCAGTTTTGGGGAGTTATTCAGGCTCTTTTTGCTCTTTTTTATCTCCAGGCTCTTTGGTAAGGAATGGGAAGAGCAGGGGGAGCCTGCACAGCTTGGCTGTGTTCACTCCTCACTTCTCTCTTCATGGGGAAATTAAGGAAATTTCCAGAAAAATCCCTGTCCTGCTACAGAGGAGAAAC